TTGAAATTTTGTTTCCTTACATTTTTCCAGCAATAAATGACAATCATACATTTTCACCATGATTTACAGAAGACACCCTCTAAAATCTATACGGGAAATATCACATCAGTAGCAGTGCAGTATGGCTGTATATCGGCACTGGTGGGAGGCGTGCATTGGCTTCAGGCCAAAAGTAGAGTGCTTTAGTGTCCCACCAGTGATGATATACAGCCATAATCGCATTGCTACTCGTGTGATATTGCGTTTATACAACAGTTCGACGGCATAATTGTGTATATAAAAAAGAAAATCAGGCACGGAAAGTCTCAAAATACTTTTGTACGAGGAACTACTTTCTTCCGCCATTCATTCACATCTGCAGCTGATGTCAGAACTGCAGAAACTGTTGCTAATTGACAAAGTCACTTTAGTGCTAATGTTTGAATGATTTTCTAGCATAATGTCTAAAATGATTACAAAAAAGCTGGTTTTGCTCACATTTTAAGATAAGGCTGAAAGGCATAAAATGCCACAAGTCTACAGAGATCAGCATTTCTCTGTTGCAATCGGAAGATCACAAAAATGTATCCTGAAAAAGTCTAAGCAAAGCAAACACTACCAGATTACTATGGTATAAATACAGCACTACAACAAACAAGAGAGAGATTAACTTAGAAAGAAACTAACCTGTTTTGTAATGATTTGACCAACTGTAGTTTGAAATTTGCGCTGTGTTTTTCTCTCCTAAGGACTTATTATGCGATTCCTGATGCCATCTTGTTGTGGAACGTCAACTGCTTTGCTCTGCTCCATATGACAGATGATGGCCACCGATGCGCTAAATCACCAAAATTCTAAATAAAAAAAAAAATTCATTAATAAGCACTATTTTTATAAATAAACTGCATAGTTGCAATCTAAACAACTATGTTCTCACCTAAAAAGCCTCAAAAGTACATTATGTTCTCCAACAGCAGCAATATTTGTCAAAAGTAGTGAGTCTATTGATCTGCCGTCACTGTATGTATCTGTTGTATGTGGGCGGAGTAATGCAAAGGGGTGAAGAGACTGTAAAAGTGCTGGTATTGCATGACTGTCAGCCAATCAAATTTAAAGATTTAGGTACCAAAAAGAACTGTTGTGCTTGCGTGTGTGGTTGTGTGTATATGTGTGTGTGTGTGTGTGTGTATATATATATATATACACACAAAATTTAATTTTCAATTTTAATTTTCTAATTTTTTTTTTCAATCTATATTTTTTTTTTCAGGAATATTTAAAACAACAATAATTTTATGACCCATTAAAAGGCTCTATTTAAAGATCAAAGTGCAGCCCTAAAATGTGAATATATTTTATGCAATGCATCTTGCTATTTTAATTTATTTAAAATGTTAAAACTTCTTTTTCATCCATATATTTAGATAATTCTGAATGAATATGTCTTTTCAGGCTTAAAACTGATGTTTATGATGATGATTATGATGAAACATTAGTTGATCCACATTTCACTTTAACAAAACACATTTGAAGCATGGCATTTTAAAAGCGCTTAAAGGAAATAAAATGACTTTTAAAAATACAACTTAGTCCAAACACCAAAAAATGAATCTTACCCAGATAAAGAAGACGGACAAACAATGTACATTTAGATATAATTTCACCTGAACCAATCTCTGACATCAAGGTATCCTAATTCCACCTAATTGTTGAGAACCAAAGCTATAAATAATATCCGACACCCAAGCCAAAATAAAGCTTCTGATTGGTTCTAGCCTTGACAGACGAACATAAATTTTGATTTGCAGCGAAAAACCCCGTCCTTTAATAATCCTATCTGTTTTAATCGCAAAGAGGGACAGATTCATGGATAATGCAATTGCTTATGAAATAAAAGCCCCTCCACGCGCAGACTGGAGATTTAGAGCATGATTTTGATAGCGTGACTCCTCTAACCTTGATGTTGGATGCACCGATCGCGTACAACAAACTTTTTCTCATATGTTATGGCGTGCAGAGAATTATAGGTCAATTTAGGCTCGGTCAGTGAGACGACCCTCATCAACAACCTCTGTTCCACCATCCCTCCCGCTTTAGACGTTGACCTTTGCGATTTTTCTTGCAAGGGGAGCAGACTCTACATTGCGGTGATGTGTGCTGGTAGTGTGGTCAGTGCTCATGTTGTGCTGGATGGCCACTCATGTGTAGTGATGCTTGCAGGACCCATCCTGTGACTCTGGGGCATATGGTCTCTACTGGCCATTTCCCTGGAGCATTATTGCAATGCTGATTTACTACCAGTGAAGGACAATCATCAGAGACCAAATTACACCCCAATCATGGTGCGAGAGTGTTTGTTCATGGTCTTTAGCTTAACGCAATGGAGGGTGAAAACTTCTATAGACAATCAATTACCTTATAATTGGTATGGTTTAAGCTACCGGTCCATAATGTTTGTAGCTCGTTTTGAAGTATGCGCAATGTGTCGGACATGCAAACACATACAAGCTGGGCAAATGCGTCCCAAGTTGGCCATATTTGTCTGTGGTCGTGCTGACAGCTTTTGACATACTGCAGCGCATTTAAGAAATGGGATTCTGTTTGGAAGCGAGGAGCACTCATCTTAAACATTAAAGGTAATAGATCTCCAGGGTGAGATTTTTATCGACATTTCTCATTACCAACCTATTGGTGTTTATAGCGTCGGTCATAAATGGCTCCCTGTGGTGCTGTGTTTTATGAAGAGATCAGCTGTCAGGGTATAAGCGCTCAAATCTCTGCAGGACTCAATGACACTGGTCAGGTTTAAATGACCTGAGATAGGAGAAAAAGAAAGACAGAGAGAGTGAGTGAGGACAAAGCTAGTCAGAAACTCTAGTCATCAGTCTTTTTCTTATTTGTGTATGTATTTATTACATTTCTAATAGCATTTTTGTGTATTTATGTATACATGGATTATAACCAGTATACTATTCATAGTTTATAAAATGTGCAATGCTTTGCAATACTTGACACGTCATGGCAGTAAAGCTCATTTTTGTTTACTTTATGTTGCTATACCGACATCAAAATCTAAGGGTAACAAGGTCTTTTCAGTGGATGCCCTCCGACTATAGAGCCCTCTTATAAATGTATTAAATTGTCCTTAACTGTGAATGCTTTAAGTCTTGATCGAAGTCATACCTTGTTAGTAGAGCAATCAGAGTCAATAAGAGGGATCAGGTTTTTAATGCTTCAAATAAATAAATAAAATAAAAATAGAAAATAAATAAAAAAATCAAAAAATGTTAATGATTAATATCACACACACACACACACTACGCACACGAATGCGCACACACACACACACACACACACACACACACACACACACACACACACACACACACACACACTCAGAAATAATTAAACCACTTTTGATTTTTTTTTTCTACCTTTTTTTTTTTAAATAATTTTTCAAATGATGTTTAACAGATTAAGGAAATTCTCACAGTATGTCTGATAATATTTCTTCTTTTGGAGAAAGTCTTGTTTGTTTTATTTCACCAATAATACAAGCAGTTTTTAATTTTTTAAAAAACATTTTTAGGTCAATATTATTAGCCCCATTAAGCAATATTTTTTAATAATCTAAAGAACAAACCATTGTTATACAATAACTTGCCTAATTACCCTAACCTACCTAGTTACCCTAATTAAGCCTTTAAAATGTCACTTTAAGCTGTATAGAAGTGCCTTGAAAATTATCTAGTCAAATATTATTTATGGTCATCATGGCAAAGATAAAAGAAATCAGTTATTAGAAATGAGTTATCAAAACTATTATGTTTAGAAATGTTTTGAAAAATCTGCTCTCTGTTAAACAGAAATTGGGGAAAAAAATAAACAGGGGGGCAAATAATTCAGGTGGGTTAACAATTCTGATTGCACCTGTATATAAGAACACTAGTAATTTAATCAGATTTAGGGTTAAAAAAAATAATGGTTTATGTCAAAAAAAAAGTTTTTATTACCGAATAATATTTCTGCTATTAATTGAAATAATCCATTGAGAATTTTATTTGCATAAAGAATCTGACTGCAGCCAGTGTTCCGCACAGAGATATGATCTCACAATTTATTTTTCTAATTCATGAAACGTAGATTAAGAAACTGTTCACAGTGAGGATAAAGTTGCTCAGACAAAATAAAATACCTGTATAATATTCCTCCTTAATAAAATATTACAAAATGGGCCAAATTATGCTATAATTAAAATGCTGAAAGACAAAGTGCATGCTGTAATTGTAAATAATCTGTTGACTGTGTTAATGGCTAGCAAATGGGACTTCCATAACAATTTCTTACTCAAATTGTTTATCAAAATTAATGTACATAAAAGTGTAGCAACAATTCGCAGAACATTAGAATAAACCTAAACTAATACAAGCTTAAAAATAGGACATCTCAATTTAATTTAGGAAGAGTTAAATAAGTTAAATGCCCACTTTAGAAAAACATAACCATGGGTTTATTATAGTACAAGTGTAGTAATGATGATGTTTTGGCAGATTTATTACCATAACCGCAAGTTTACTGCATATACCATGGTTAGCTATGGTGTCAAAGTCATGCATACTTTTGGTTTAGCTACAGAAACATGTTTGTGGTAAAACATTTCCTTTATCAAACTGTTATCAAAAATATTGTATCGTGTTGTTAACAGTACTAAACACAGACATAAATTACAACATATAAATTAAGGCTAATAAACTCCCGTCACTGTTTCAGTAATTGTGTTTGTTGTTTAAGGTGGTCTAACTGTACTGCCTTGAATGAAAAAAAAAGGTTAGTTCAAATAGCAAACCTTAAAATAGGCAGCAGCAGTGACAGCATTACTTACCTTTGTAAACAGCACTAATGAGAAGAGTCCGTATCACGTTACCCTTGCCAGTGTGGCTCTTTTGTAGACATTGATCAGCCAATCAGCGCTCGCTGAGAGAAGCACAACATAAAACATCGCGAGATCTTTAAGGACAGAGAGATTCAGCGAGAGGAACTGAAACACCGGCGAGCCAGGACCCAATTTTCTCTGTATCTGCGGATCCGCTGGACAAAGCGAAAGGGTTTCATGCTCTTCAGACCGCATATAAACATAACAGGTAAATGAAATCTCCATTTGCTGGCGTGAAATAACGCGAAACGGGTTTTCACAGGCTGTAATTGAGAAGTGGGATGACGTCACCTCAGCCGCTGCTTTCTTTTAGTCCGTAAATGTTTAAACGTGTTCGGCGTAAATGAACCGTTACATTATAAATGATACAGTATCGGCTAAAATTAACCACCACAGGGCTCACTCTGTTAGACTGAGCTTTACACTGTACACAATACGACTGTGTGTGGGCTTAGGTGATGTTCTGTTCATGATCTGCTTATTACATTAGTGTAATTCTGCCACCTAACGTTATTGATATTCATCTGTTTTGTGTGCAGCTTGGTGGAGGTATGACATTAACCAGGGGCTCCTTCACTTATTCCAGTGGAGAAGAATATACCGGAGAATGGAAGGAAGGCAAGACATTTCTGAATCACTTTGCATTGCTTTTGAATGATCATTTTTAATAAATAGAGCAGGTTGTCACGTGGTTTCACATATGCACATAAAGGCTATAAATTATGGAATTAGTTTACATTAAACATTACTGTCAGATACACAAACACACACATGCGCATATATATATATATATATATATATATACACATACACACACACACACACACACACACAGTTGAAGTCAGAACTATAGCCCCTCTGAATTATTAGCCCCGTTTATTTTTTTACCCAATTTCTGTTTAACAGAGAGATATTTTTCAACACATTTCTAAATATTATCGCTTTAATAACTAATTTCTAATAACTGATTTATTTTATCTTTGCCATGATGACAGTACATAATACTTTACTGGATATTTTTATATCTATCAACATATTCGTTAGACTATCGAAAAAACATATAGCTTAAAGGGGTTAATAATTTTGACCTTAAAAATTAAAAACTGCTTTCATTCTAGCTGAAATAAAAAATATAAGACTTACTCCTGAAGAAAAAATAATATCAGATATACTGTGAAAATTTCCTTGCTCTGTTAAACATCATTTGGAAAAAATTAAAAAAGAAAAAAATCTAAAGGGGATAATAATTCTGACTTCAACTATATATATATAGCAAACTATTAGACAAAGTTGCAATTTGGTGTTAATAAAATTACAAAAGTCATTTTTTATGCAGAGAAAGCAAAGTACCTATTTTGTTTCAAATATATGTTGTAAATAAAATTATATTAATATATTTTTTTTGTTTGTTTTAAAAGGTTTTTATTGAGATATTCATTGCATTGCATTGCACAGCATTACAGTAAATATTACATCTCTATTTTTTTTGCAAAAATAAATAATTAATAAAAAATTATTTAAAAATAAATAAATAATTTGTAAACCCAGAATACACTTTTCAAAAAACACAAAATGCTTAACCTCTAAACCCCCCACCCCTGGGACCAAAGCTTATGCAGTAATGTTGGTGTGACCTTCACCATGTGGGTTTTTAACCTACGCTTTCAAGATAGAGGAGAAGAGGAGACCAAATATTGTCAATTTGTTTTCAATTTCTTTGCCATAAGAAATCTGATTATTTCCAAATATGCTAATTTAGGTAATTCTTCCAGCCAAGATCTAAATGATGAGGATTGTGTTGATTTCCAAAACCTTACCACTAGCTTCTTTGCCACAATAAGGCTGTAAGACAACAGTTGTTTTTGAGAATCCTGGAGTGATCTAGTTTTGTCTGAAATTCCGAATATGACCAAAAGTGGGTTGAAAACTGTTTCACAGTGTAAAATTTTAGATAGTTTTAAATATTTCAGCCTAGAATAGGATCAACACAGAGTATAACTATGTAAGGAAGTGGCTAACTCCATCTTGCATTTATCACAGAATAAATCTACATTTTTAAATGGGTGAAAATATGTTCCATGGTCATTCAGTATAACAGATGTATTTATGTAAAAATAAACAACACACTTATTTTGACTTGCACTAATAATAAGTGATAAATAATATATTTTACATTATTTTAATTGATTAAACGTGTTGGTAACAAGTGGGTTAAACCTTTGGGGTTGGGTTAAATTTTTTTTATGTCTTTTAATGTCATTAATTCATTTGTGTTTTAAATAAGCACAAAAATACTTTTTTTGTATATTATTGCTACTCTAAAATGCAGTTTTAGTATTTTTGGGATGGGTGAAAATCCCATTTTTAAATGGGTGAAAATATGTTCCATGGTCATTCAGTATAACAGATGTATTTATGTAAAAATAAACAACACACTTATTTTGACTTGCACTAATAATAAGTGATAAATAATATATTTTACATTATTTTAATTGATTAAACGTGTTGGTAACAAGTGGGTTAAACCTTTGGGGTTGGGTTAAAAATTTTTTATGTCTTTTAATGTCATTAATTCATTTGTGTTTTAAATAAGCACAAAAATACTTTTTTTGTATATTATTGCTACTCTAAAATGCAGTTTTAGTATTTTTGGGATGGGTGAAAATCCCATTTTTAAATGGGTGAAAATATGTTCCATGGTCATTCAGTATAACAGATGTATTTATGTAAAAATAAACAACACACTTATTTTGACTTGCACTAATAATAAGTGATAAATAATACATTTTACATTATTTTAATTGATTAAACGTGTTGGTAACAAGTGGGTTAAACCTTTGGAGTTGGGTTAAAAAATGTTTATGTCTTTTAATATGTCATAGATTCATTTGTGTTTTAAATAAGCACAAAAATACTTTTTTTGTATACTATTGTTACTCTAAAATGCAGTTTTAGTATTTTTGGGAGATTTTCATTATTTTCGTTTAAAAAGGAAATTAAAAGGACTTAACAACAATAACAAAAAATGGTAAAGAGATGTAAAATTAGTTTAAAATTAGTCCTTTACAGAATAAAACAAAGATTATGTTTACTAAAATTCATGAACAAGTAAATTGTCATTTTTAAAAAGTTAAAGATTTACCTGTCAAATATTCACAGCAGAAGAAGATTTGACAGCTTGCCCCAGGGGCTTGACATATATTAACATGTTTTAAAGAATGTTAATTTCTTCTCTCATTGTTGTGGAAATTGTGGTCTTGAGATGGTTAATGATCCAAACTGCTTATGCATTAGATGCAGGGGTGATCTCAAGTAATGTTGACAAATCTAATTATCATAGCTGTTAACACAAAAGCAGAGTGTCTGTATAATTAGTGTACTGCATGATCAAAGCTCAGTGTTCAATGTGTCTTGCTGTGCAGGTCGGAGGCACGGTAAAGGCGAGCTGAAGTTTGCTGATGGCACCTGTTATAAAGGTCACTTTGAGAACGGCTTGTTTCATGGATCAGGGGTGTTAGTCTTTCCTGATGGATCCAGGTGAGTGAAAATACTTACCTGCTTAAGCTGAGATGAACATTTTGGCAGTGATACTGTGAGACAAGTTAGGTGAAAAACATCACCATTTGTGATCAACAGGTACGAGGGGGAATTCGCTCAAGGAAAATTTCAAGGAGTCGGAATCTTCAGCCGGTTTGACGGGATGAAATTTGAAGGGGAATTCAAAAGTGGCCGCGTAGAGGGACATGGTAAAGTCGTTTGATGACACAGTAGTTACTGTACATTTGCATGCATCCAAAATTGTCTTTATAATCTATTTTACAGTTTATAATCAGTTAACGATTATCATTAACCTGCGGGCTGCACCCCATTTCACCCCAAACAGCGGCACCTTAGTGAATATTAATTAATATTAATGAATATTACACCTGCTCAATGAAAATCAGATGATTCACTACATTAATAAATCTGACATAACTTGATCAGAAATCTAAAAAGGGGAGAAAAAGAGTAGGGTGAAAAAAAAGTACACATCAATAGCAGCAGATAACACTGCATAGCTTAACAGTGCCATCGTGGTCTAGTGGTCAGTACATTACACTTTGACGCAGGCGACCCAAGTTCGAACCTCACCAGAATATATGTTTTTTTTTTCAGTGTTAAAACATAAAATACTGCTTGGGTTACTTATGTAGGGGTGCATATTTTTTTTTTGTGTGATGACCGTTACAAAGGACTGGATATCTATAAAGAATTAATCTCATTATTTATGAAAAACATTTAAAGTTCTAAAGCAGCTGTGTCCTTGAAAAAGACGTGTTAGTGTCATTTGAAACTGAATTGGAAATGACGTTATTTTAATATAGTCAGTCGTCGACTGAGGTGGGCCGGTCTAAGGCTTGAAACTCCAGAGCTAAAAAGGAGTCCCACTCCGGCCCTGGTAAGGTGCATCAATAAATATTGTACAAATAAAGAATTCTCAATATGTTTATAAATAAATGCATGTTTTGTATTTTTATATTAGCTCACATGCTGAAAAAGTGTGGGCAACTTTGCGCTACAGAGTTAAAAAACAAAAGGCCTATAAATAGGCGCAGGATGTTCAATGTTGTAGGCCAGATTACCATGTCAAAATGTTCATATATTATAATAAATCGGCTAATTCTTCAAGCGTTTGGTGCTGTGATGCACAACAATCTGAATATTTCTAAAAGACAGTCTAAAAAGTTTAAATAAGAAATAATTATTCACAGTATTTTGCTCATTATCATGACATTGAATGATTGAATATTGGCATATGTCTAGCAAAAAAAATATAGATGTATGAAGATTGACAGAATGAATAAATATAGTCTTCCTTACTTCACACAGGGCTGCTGACATTCCCAGATGGTTCCCACGGTGCTCCGCGAAATGAGGGAATGTTTGAGAACAACAAGCTCCTGAAACGGGAAAAGTGTCAGGCTGTGGTGCAGAGAGCCAAAAACTCAGCGTCCACCGCCCGCGGCCTCTCAGTATGACAAACTGACCTCAGCGAGAACACTCCGACAAACTGCGCCTTTCAGACATTAGGGACCGCACCGTCACGAGGAAAAAGAGCAAAGCTGATTCAGGGGTGATTTCTGCCCTCACCAGATAATACACCAGGCCCATCAGACCCTCAGGGACGGATGAACACGTTTCCATTCCTCACGTCTCCACTTCACTCATGCTGTTGCTCTGCCTTGGTTTCCTCTGTGTCTTAAAAACATCACAAAGTTTTGTGTGTTTGTTATGGAGGCATTGGTAAAAAAAAGAGAAAAAATGTCAACATTGGACAACCCAGGCTCATTGGAGATACGTGCACAGGGCTACATTTTTGGGAACCTCAAAATATGTGCCTATGGCTATGTTTTTTAGCAGTTTTTGTTTTCACAAGTCCACTAGAGCAGTGTTTCCCAACCCTGTTCCTAAAGGCACACCAACGGTACATATTTTGGATGTCTCCCTTATCTGACCCAATTGTTTCAGGTTTTAGAGTCTCTTCTAATGTTCTGATGAGTTGATTCAGGTGTGTTTGATTAGGGAAAGGTTTAAAATGTGTTCTGTTGGTGTGCAACAGGTAGGGAAACAGTGCACTAGAGGACGATGTGCACATTTTCAAATACGTTAATGGGCAACATTTTCTCATATGTTACCTTTTCGTATTTCTACCAGCGGATGCAGTGTATATTTCTGCGAATCTCAACGTCCTTCTTGTGCCATTAGGGAACTTTGTTGTGATTTCATATATCAGCTTGCTATCGATTGACCCAACCAACCCTTTCAAAAGCAAAATAGTAGAGAAAAGCTGCCATGGCCACATGCTTTTAACACAATTTTACACAGTTGTTTTACCTGGTTTCTGGGACCATCCTTGGCCACACTTGAATCCTGGCCCACTTCACGTCTTAAGTCCGACACCATATGATTAGAGCTACCGAGCAAACTGCTCACGGCAGAAAAGACTTCCATATTAATGTAAGCAGAAAGGCTGATTGACCCTTTCAGCTGGGTGCACAGCATGAGCCTTCGATGACTGCGCATGCACAGCCAATACCCGTGAAGGCTTTTATACTTGACATGCTCGTTGTACTATTATTTGTAACAACAGGGGGCGACTCATGACAAAACAGTAGTAAAGAAGACGTCAGTGAGTGGATCTCCTATATGAATTTAACTATAAATAAAATAAATACGTTGTGAATAATTTGGAATAGAGGTCTGCATTTCTGCGGCTGTACAGCGGGACCAGACCAGATTTCTTGCGGCACGGGAATGAATTTCCAAATAAAGCACAGGAGCGGTTGTTAACTGGTGTAATTTTCGATGGGAGCGGGCTGTCTAACATCGCTTCCGACTCCCGAGCGAGCGAGCACGCGTATTTATGTGTGTGAACGAGAGAGCGTGATGCTGTGTTTAGCTTGTTTGTTACTGTCTATGTGTGCGTGTGTGAATGAGAGAGAGAGCTTTGTGCTGTTTGCGCGTGTGTGTGTGCGCGCACACGTGTATGTGTGTGTGTGTGTGTGTGTGTGTATGTGTGTGAATGAGAAAGAGCGTGATGCTGTCTGTGTGTGTGTTTCACTTGCTTGGTGCTGTGTGTCTATGTGTGTCTGTGTGTGTGTTATACAGACAGCTTGTTATAGGCTGTCTGGACTCTGTATAGCTGAGTGGTTTTCGGTTTTGTTCTCCCCCTCCGCCGTTAGCGGGAACAGACACGGTGGGTAGAAAACGAGGCGGGTCGGGCAGCGGGACAACAAATGCTGAATATAAGTGGGAGCGGTCGGGTTCGGACTAAAACCTGGCGGGAGAGAGATGCAAAATTTAATCCTGCGAAGATCTCTAATTTGGAAGACAATCGTAAAAATGTTTGCTTTTAATACAGTTGTTCAAATGACTAAGTCACGCTACATTTTCTATACCCAAAGCTAACTGCGTACTTAATGCCAAACCATTCATACAAAAAATAAAGCATTGTTAACTGTAAAACATTGTTAACTGTTAACTTGTTGGACAACCTGTGCACAAAATATTTGCAATGTTTTCCATCAAAGCTTCAAAAGGGCACATTTCACATTGCATCGGGCGGTTGTTTCGGATTTCTAAAGGTGTTGTTTGTGTAAATTTCCAAGCTCGGCTCCAAGTCGTGCATCTTTGGAAGCAAAGCCATGAACAAAATTACAAAAACAAAGTTGTGCACTCCGCCAGCTAAAATCAAGCCGTGCACACCCAACTTCCGTCAACACCGCAATGACATCACATTCGTAAACTAGTCGACACATTGAGTATAAACCAAACATTAGCAGTAGTGCGAAAAGGAACAGAAGTTGTCAGCAGCATCATAATGCACTGTAATCATTTTACGCTCAAAATGCAGCAAGAAATTGCTCAAAATATTTCACAATTTTCAAAAATGTAGGCCTGGGCACATATCTCCAATGACATTGCAAGTATTGCTACCTGATCTCACAAGGAAACGTAACTATTTTACGTTTTATCAGTTTAGTGACTAATTCGTGCAAATTTGTACGAGTTCAGTAGTACGAAAATGTACGATTTTAAAAAGGAGGCATGGCACCAAACCCCACCCCTAAACCCAACTGTCATTGGGGCATAAGAAAATCGTACTAAATTGTATGAATAAGACCGTACAAATCATGCAAACTAGCCACTAAATCAACAAGTTATGAATTGCTGTGAGATCATGTTGTGTATTGAGTTGCTGAAACATGGTCAGATGATGAAGATCTTTGGTAAATGGACTGAATTTGCCTTTGTGAGTATGCGATTGTATCACTTGTCGTTGTGTGTTACAAATCAACGTTTTCTTTATTGCACATTTGCCTTAGTTATTGCATTTAAAGTCAATATTGCTGGATTAAAATCTCGTTATCGACGTTGAACACCGGTGACCTTTTCAGCAACTTGTCTTAATTTTAGATTTATTTGTTTATATAAAATGTGTCTATGTATGATTTATTAACACATTATATGGGTATTGTGGAACATTGCGTTTGGGTGTATTGTACAGAAAACTACTTTGAGATTATTTAAATTGTATTGTCACTTCAGATGTTTAATGACTGGTTTAAGTTTACATTTGTTTTTTGAACTGACTGCTAATGGTTCACTGTTCACATCATCCGCAGTGTCAGACAAAAGCCTTAGTCACTATCATCTAAAACTTACTGACACCAAATAGCATTTTGCACTGTTATTTATTTGAGCAGAGAATCGAAAGACTGATAAAGTGAAATAAAAGTTGGAAAACACACCAATTAATAAGCATTTTTTTATTTATTTGTCTTTTATAAGGTTCAAATATGCAAAATCAAATAAGACATTACTGTTTTTTAATTTTTTTGGATTATTAGAATATATGTTCAATAAGAGGATTGCCAACAATTCCAAATGTGATCAATACAAAGTTGTATTTTTGAACTGTTGTTCGTTCCCTATAAACTTAAAATTAGAGAGCATACTGCTGACATATTTTGTTCCCTTCAAATTGTCATTGCATTACACATTATTACAAACCATTTTTTTTCTTGCTGTTAAAAGCTATTTAAAAGGTCATACAGTTCCCTTAATAGAATCTGGATGAAACCTTTAATACACTGGTAAAAATGTTTACACTTAAAATTTAGGCAACTTGCTGCACATCTTTTAATGCAAGCACTGCACTTAGTCAACTAAAAAAGCTTTTGAGCTGTCAGCTTTAAGTGTAGAAGATTTTATTTAAAGCTGAAAGCAAAGTTAAAGCTTTAAAAAAAATTTAAACGGTAGTATGAGATGAATCCCGAATCATTCCTTATCCTTAATATATAACAATTTATATTGCAACATACACTCACTGGGGAAGAAAGGTGATTTAAGAGACGTTGAATATGGCATTTTTGTTGGTGCCAGACGGGCTGGTCTGAGTATTTCAGAAACTGCTAATCTACTGGGATTTTCATGTACAACCATCTCTAGGGTTTACAGAGAATGGTCAGAAAATGAGAAAATATCCAGTGAGCGGCAGTTCTGTGGGCGCAAACGCCTTGTTGATGCTAGAGGTTTGAGGAGAATGGCCAAACTGGTTCCAGCTGATAGAAGGCAACGGTAACTCAAATAACCACTCGTTACAACCGAGGTCTGCAGAAGAGCATCTCTGAATGGACAACACATCGAACCTTGAGGAGGATGGGCTACAGCAGCAGAAGACCACACCGGGTGCCACTCCTGTCAGCTAAGACCAGGAAACTGAGGCTACAAGTCACACTGGCTCACCCAAATTGAACAATGGATGATTGGAAAAAAACGTTGCCTGCTCTGATGAGTCTGGATTTTTGCTACGACATTTGGATGGTAGAGTCGGAATTTGGCATCAACAACATGAAAGAACAACAACATCCTCACTTGTATCAATGGTTCAGTCTGGTGGTGGTGGTGTAATAGTGTGGGGGATATTTTCTTGGCACACTTTGGGCCCATTAGTACCAATTGAGCATCATGTCAACACCACAGTTTACCTGAGTAATGTTGCTGACCATGTACATCCCTTTTTGACCACAGTGTACTCATCTTCTGATGGCTACTTCCAGCAATGCACCATGTCATAAAGTGTGAATCATTTCAGACTGGTTTCTTGAACATGACAATGAGTTCACTGTACTCAAATGGCCTCCACAGTCACCAGTTCTCAATCCAATAGAGCACCTTTGGGGTGTGGTGGAATGGGAGATTTACATGTATGTGCAGCCAACAAATCCGCAGAAACTGTGGGATGCTATCATGTCAATATGGACCAAAATCTCTGAGGAATATTTCCAGTACCTCACTGAATCTATGCCACGAAGAATAAGGCAGTTCTGAAGGCAAAAAGTCCAACCCAGTACTAGTAAGGTGTACCTAATAAAGTGGCCGCTGAGTGTATGTATCCTGTTATATTATCACAAGTATTGGCAGGGCGCTTGTCCAGTTCTCCAGCTGCTCAGTGAAACCACTGCAGTGTGTGACTATAGCTTTCTAATCAGAGAACAACTGATGTTTTTATCAGGGCAACCCTTCATGACACCAGGCCAAAAGATCAGGGTTACATCTAATACAGCAGAAAAACACACACTACAAAGATAAAAGGGCTGGATTGTTCATTCACAATCACAATGTACATTGAGGCTAATGTTTGCTTTGGGTCTCTTTTTGTTGGGTAGTCATTATATAATTAGCACAGATTATGTATGTGTCGCACTTGTGCATATCAGTTTTCATCTGATGCATCAGGAAACTATGCGCTGCAGTGAGTCTGTACTGGCACAGCAAACCACTGACACAACTATAACATTAAACATGATTCATATCAAAATTATGCGATGAACAACATGCACTGCATATGCGAGAATCAAATATTTAACAGTTCTTACTAAAGGCTTGTACAGAACAGAGCAATTTGGGTTCCTCGAATAACCTATTAGTAAACATTACTTAAAAGAACTATTTTTGGTAAAATGGTTTTAGTTTAAGTACCAATTCTCACTGTTAAGTAGTAGCTTATTACTGGCCTGTTATTAAAATATTGGCTGTTTATTAGTACTTTCAAAGTGCATGTTCTGATTCTACATCCCTAATCCTACCTAACATCTAAAGCTAGCTACTACGGCACCTTAATAATTATTATTAAGCAGCAATTTAGGAGTTCCTTAAGTTTAATAACATTATAATATTAGAAAAAAGATTAGAAAAAACCCTAAAAGAAATTGTGAACCCCCTTTTTTATTAACATAAAGATAATTTTGGAAATATAAGAAAGTACATAAAAATGCTAATATATGATAATACTTTTATTTTTAAGAGCCAATATTCTCTTAGTGCCAAGGACCTTAAGATGGAACTATTAGGATATAATGCACTAACCACATGTTCTTAGGTTACACTTAAGTAGTGTATAATTATACATGCAACATTAATATACAATAATAATAAGCATACTGAATTATTCACCAGTTGAAATATTTATAATACTGTAAATTATTAGATCATCTGAACTAAAACAAATCATATCTACAGTATATTTACATTTGAGTTGAAAGCTAAATTATTAGCCGCCCCTGTGACATTTTTATTATTTTTTTCTTTTCTTTTATTTCCCAAGTGTTGTTTAACAGAGCAAGGAAATGATCACAGTATTCTATAACATCTTTTCTAAAGTAAGTCTTAAACTAAAGGTGCAATATGTAAGTTTGACCCCAAGTGGTTGAAGTAGGTATTGTATTATTAGATGAAAACACATGTAAGCGCAGTTTGCTAGATTGAGACACTGAGCTCTGAAGTGTGAGGAAAAGTTAGTGTTATTTTCCCTACCCAAAGATGAGGCTGTGAAGTGTCAGAGGTTGAAGTTTATTTTTGCAAAAATACCTCAACATCATAGCCCCAGCCTTGTGCTGTGTTCCCATTATTTTTCTGACAAGTGCTTCAGCAATCTACAAACTTACAACAGGATATTCGTCAGCTCTTTGTTAAAGGAAGGATCAGAAAAGACTTTTCATGCATGGGACTTTGTCAGAGCTTGACAGGAACTTCACAGTACACATTTCATGGATCAGTTTCTTCCTCCATTTCACAAGTGTAAGTAAGTGTGATTGAAATGGTTGCCTCCTTGTTTTCTTTAGCTTTCAAATGATGTATTTATTTGTGTTTTGTCACTTGTAACCACTCGACGCGGCTTGTACTGCCACTTTGTTTACAGATTTAAATGCATTGGAAAGCTCACGATCCAGCCGTTTGTCGTAGCTATGTCCACCATCAACTGTTTCTACACGTGATGGTCAGGTTTCAAATGAGTTCAGCCTTTGCCACTGTGTGGATTGATACTGAATGTGTGTTACTGTTTTAACTTATGGTTAAGAATAGAGCAATATGCTGGTGTTAAACTGCATTGGTTTAATGCACTTCTGCATTGGGCTCACACATACACTCTGCACTCTGACTACTTCAACAATGTTGATAAGCCATGGTGGGCATTTCTCTCACGTCCTCTTTCTCTTCATGTCTTACGCTGACCAATCAAAATAGACTGGGTAATTGGACCAATCAGCGCAGATTAGCATCACGATAAGGAGGGATTCGAGAACAAATGAATTGGTGAACCAATCAAATGGGAGTTGCTGGGATAATTAGGCAAAAATAAATGCATATTATAAGACAATGAAAGTGTTTTTTGGCCTTGCATGTATATCAGCCTGTTGTTGGAGACCCCCACAAGCAAAATATGACCCTTTATAATGCAAAATAGGAGCTCTTCAAATCATGTTCTAAATAAAAAGCATCGGCACGCAATAGATGGAATATTTTCATAATAAAAAGAGTTTTTGTCCTAACCAACACCTGGGTTTCATATTTTAGAAATGGTTTCTATTTTTTGCAGCTAAACAACAAAAAAACTTGATAACAATGATCACCTCAGGTACACCTCATGTGCTTTATTCAGTGTTACATGCTTAACAATGTGAGTTTGAATGCCATTTTACATGACTTTTATTGCCTTACTACTGAAAGCAGCAGTAGATAGTTCACCTCAGATCTTAAAAAATAAAGCAGACTTTAGAACTGTGAAATAATGAAAACCAACACATATCAGTGATTCAGCATCTACGTTTGATAATGTTAAAGAGGTTTAATATGTATTAATTCGATTTACATTTCTGTCATGTTTCGTCTGGTGCAAACAGCCCAACTGATTATCACTGCAAACCTTGTCATGTAGCGTGTTGTTAGGACATGTGGTTACAATGTAACCTGCTCACCTAATGTTCACGTTCACAATATTTATATTATTTGCTAATTAATAACCTCATGTGGAACTCTGAATCTGCATCTCATTTCAGAGTCTGCTCCTATCCACCAGGGGTCACATTTTGGTCAGGGACTTTGAGAGCCATTCTGAACTAATGAATGAAATATGTGGTTTTCCAAAAAGGCAACCCTGGGTGCTGAAATAAAATTGGCTAAAGTGGCAGTGGGTGGGTTAAAAGAATCACATAACAGACATGTTCAAAGCAAAATAACTGACTATAGCATTGTTTTTCAGATAAACAAGAATGCCCACTTAGCATGTTTCTGAAATATCTGCAAACATATTATGGTACCTTTATGCTTTAGTAGAGTCAAAAACTTACATACAGCACCTTTAAGTCTTATAACCTAATGAACCTAGTTAAGCCTTTGCAAATCAAGCTGAGAACAACAATCTTGCAAAATAACTAGTAAAATATTATGTACAGTCATCAAAAGAAATAAGTTATTAGAAATTTGGGGGGGGGGATGTTAAACAGCACAAAATTGCACAGACGGGCTATTCATTTTGACTTCAACTGTATATAACAATCATTTGCATCCTGGTTCTATTTGTATACTGATGAGACCTGTTCAACACTAATGGAGCCAGAAAGTAAACAGTTACTCAGACAGAGCTGGTGTTGTTCTTTGTCAGTGCACCTGCTCACTGAAACTCTGATAAATCCAGTGCATCCCCAAGTGTTTGTCAGGCCAGACCAACCTCCTTCATCTGCTCCAGCTTCTCCAGTGTCTCTTTAGTGTCAAACTGCCACTGCTTCACTTGTTCAGTGGCTGTAATGCCCTCCTGAAACACATGCATGAAGAGTTTATACAGTATGTGGATTACAAAGAGCAATCTTAAGTATCTCATATTTTAAACTGGGATACTACACAGGGTTCCCACTTTAACATTGACATTTAGTCAATTAGCAGACACTTTTGTCCAAAGCAACTTAAAATTGAGGAGGCATTCAGGGATTCAACAAGACGAGATAATACACACAAGAAGTGCGAGCTATATAAAGTAACTTGTTTGTTCTCAGAGAATTTAGTGCTAGAGTAAGCTTTTTTATATGGGGGAGACCACCTTCTATAGGTGGTCTTAGTTTTATTCACCACAGTTCAGGTGTTCTCAGAAGAGATGGGATTTTAGTTGCCGTTTGAATGATACCAGTGAGTCCACAGTCCATGTGGGAATAGGAAGATCATTACACCAGTGTGGAACATGGTTTTAGAAAGTGACTTATAGCCTCTCTGCAATGGCACCACAAGGGGGTGCTCCCACCCTGATTGGAGGGTCCTGGAGGGGACGTGGACCTTCAGGAGAAGGTGAAGGTAGGAAAGTGCACTGCCAGTGGTGCATTTTCATCCAAATGTCAAATTTCCTGACTTTCCCTGATTAACAAACTAAATTTCCAAGACTTAAACATGTAAGATGAACAATACGCTGATGTGTTTTGCATAATATTAAAATAGTTTGAGCCTGAATATCATTTTTCATAGCCATTATGAGAGCAACATTAGATAATGTATCTTATCTTTTATATTAAGTAATAAAAAAAACAGAGCATCCAGTTTTAAGTGCTCATTTTGTAGTCTAAGCTTTTGATTTCTTGACATGTTTGTTCAGGTTAACATGTATAGCTTGGTGATTGCATTTAACTTAAAGGGATAGCTAAAAATTGCGTTTATCATTAAAGTGACAGGACTAATCGGACTACATTCGCAAATTTCTTACACAGACTGATCATTTTACTTCACGAGATCGCAGCGTGTCTTTAGGAGCCATCACTATTGACTTGGACCCGTTTGTATGTGCTTATTTTTAATCTCAAAAGACTCAAAAGCTTCTTTAATATTCTACTGAAGAAAAACAAAATAGTCACCTATATCTTGGATGACCTGTGGGTGAGTAGATTAACAGGGGGCTTTCATTTTTGGGTGTACTATTCCTTTAAGTGACTTTCAGAAAAAGAAAAAAAAGGTCCCACTTTATATTAAGTGGCCTTAACTAATATATACTTACAAAGGAATTAATAGTTTGTTACAATGTACTTATTGTATTAAATACATGTATTTACTGTGTACTTATGCTTGATTAAATACCTGTATGTAATTACATCTGTAATTAACTTTTGTAATAACATTAGTAAATACACTGTTGACCATCCCTTACACCTTAACCCACCCTTAAACCTACCCATACCACCAAACCTGTTCATAACCCAACCTCTATCCCAACTCAAAAGCAACACAAGTGTTCTTAAATACATTATAAACACAGTAAGTACATTGTATTTATTTTTTGATGTAAGTACATAGTAGTTAGGGACACGTAATATAAAGCGGGACCAAAAAAAAAAAAAAACAGTCTACATGAAACATGTAAACAAATGTGATGAGAAACAAGACAAATTGCAAAATGGCAACGAGCTCAACGTGTCATGTTGAATCAAGCATTTAATGAGAGAATTTGCTCCGTGACAGAAATGAAGATGGCTTTGGCTTACATCTCGACAATGGAAATGTTCTCATTATCTTGAACGCATCAAAGAAAAGGAAAGGGGATTGTCTCAATTGACAGTGATTTTACCAAACGAATAAGCCAAAAGTACGAAAGTAGCAAAACACATTGCTAACTTTAATTAATCTGTATATACGGCATGTATGGCTCTGGGTTCAAGACGTTATTATAAGATACCATCATCCTAAATTATGAATTTTTGTGTCTTTTTTAGGTGAAGGAAACCGTAGTTTATACAGTGCTTATACAGTGTTAATTGCAAAGTTCATCTAATACATAAAAAAAACAAAAAAAAAGAGGCCCCTGGAACTTCTGAAAGAGATCAAGCCTCATCCAGGTAACGTAAAAGTAACTTAAAAGTAACGTTAACACTTTACTTACTATAAAAAGTAATGCAACTAGTTACTTTTTTGGGGAGTGCCTCAATATTGTAATGGATTACATTCAAAAGAAACTTCCCCAACACTGTGTATACATCATCTGAAAGTTAATATAAGCTAAAAATAAATAAGCTTTTTATTGATGCTTGGTTTGTGTAGATAAAACAAGAACTATTTCAAAATACTGAACCTGAGAGTTAAATTTTTTTTTTAAATGGCTTTCAAAGTTGTCTGAGTAAAAATTGAGTTTTGATATATTTACAGCTCTCATCTTCATGGAACATGATCATTACTTTTTTCAAATTCATTCATTCATTTTCTTTCAGCTTAGTCTGTTTATTAATCTGGGGTTACCACAGTGGAATTAACTTCCAACTTATCCAGCATATGTTTTACACAGCGGATGCCCTTCCAGGCGCAACCCATTATTGGGAAACATCCATTCACACTCATTCACACACATACACTACAGATAATTTAGCTTACCCAATTCACCAGTACCACATGTCCTTGGACTTGTGGGGGGAAAACTTATTCAAATTATTTAATGATTTTAAAAAAAATCTATAATTTTTACTCATGCAATGTATTTTTTGGTTATTGCCAAAAATATGCCTGTGCTACATAAATCTCGGGGGGTGGGGGAAGGGGACAGAAGGACATGCCCCCCCTTATCCGAGGATTTCTTCAGTTTCTTCCTCCATTTCACAAGTGTAAGTGTGATTAAAATGGTTGCCTCCTTGTTTTCTCTAGCTTGCAAATGATGTATTTAATTGTGTTTTGTTACTTGTAACCGCTTGTACTGTATCTGGTTAACTCTTTTTATTCTCATATCACGTCTAAAACTGTCTAACTGGTGTTAAACTGCATTGCTTTAATGCACTCCTGCATTGAACTCACACACACACTCTGACTACCTCAAAACTGTTAATAAGCCATTGTGGGCCTTTCTCTCGGTCTCACGCTGAATGCAGTCGACCAATCACAATAGACTGGGTCATCAGACCAATCAGCCCAGAATAGCATCGCACTATGGAGGTGTTTGGGCACTATGAATCGCTGAACGAATCATATGAGAGTTGTTGGGATAATTAAATTAATTAGGTAGAAATAAATGCATATTAAAAGACAATGAAAATGTTTTTTCACCTTGCATGCATATCAGCCTGTTGTTGGAGACCCACAAAACCAAAAATATGACCCTTTTTAAGGCATAATAGGGGCTCTTTAAGTGTCTTATTAATATGGACACTTCTGGACACACCCCCAATGTTAACTGTAATTTACCCCCATGAATAAAAGACTGGATATGATGTGATGATAACTAACATTGTTACATCTCATAATCTGCTAGATAATTATGTAGTAATTAACATTACTTGCATCTTAACTGATATGTTCTGCAGTACTTACAGCATTCTTGATCTGCATATCGGCTCCTGCCAGGATGAGCTGTTTGACAATTTTATATCGATTAAATCTGACAGCGTCATGTAGAACCGTGTCTCCTTCCTTTAACAGACAATTGTTTTTTTCAAATGATTAAGCTGAATTATAATCTGCATGTTTGTTTTACTCTTGAACTATACATCAGTTACCCAATCCTTGGCATTAATATTGATTCCGCTGTCTAAAAGATGTTGCACCACATCGCTGTGACCCGTTCTTGTGGCCACATGTAAAGGTGAGCTGAGCAGCTGAGTGGCAGAGAAAAAGGGATATTATCTGTTAATAAACATGTTTCTTCTTACATATAATGCAGTGTTTCACATAAAAGCATCATTACTTTGTCTCTGACGTTGATGTCTGCTCCTCTGTCCTGAAGAACTGTTAATGCTGAGAGACTTCCACCTCTGCAAGCCCAATGCACAGCCCTGCAGCCCAGCTAAACCAATGACAAAACAGGAGCATAGTTGATAAACAAACCCAACCAAACATGTTTTACTTAAATTAATTAACGCAAAATATTATTACAGTTTAATAAATATACTGAAATAATACTAAATAAAATAAAATAATACAAAATAAACATAAATAATTCAAATATATCATACAAGATAAATTCATACAAAAATAATAAAATGACAAAATTACTGAAATAGTTAAAGGATAGTTATTTTTCACCCTTCTGTTGGAGTTTAGTTTTTTCTGTCAAACACAAAAAAGGAATTCTGAAGAAAGCTGGAAACTGGTAACCATTGACTTCCATAGTACATCATTTGTTTTTCCTACTATGGAATTCAATGGTTACTGGTGTCAGCTTTCTTGAACATATATGTATCTTCTTTAATGTCTTCTTTTAAGTTTAGTAAAAAAAAATGTGGAACCACTTGAGGGAGAGTAAACAGTGAGTGAATTTTCATTTTTGGGTGAACCATCCCTTTAAAATTAATAATCAATAAATATAACAATTAAAACTATGAACTAAAATATGAATAAAATCCATAACATCTATCCAGTGAAATCCATCCATCTATCTAGTGAAACGGAAAAGCAAAAAACAAAGAAGCACATTACAAGCAGTGCATATTGCAAAAGTGCAAAAAAACAGTTACGGAAATTAATTCACTTTATAAACATTTGTCATGATCTCACCCTGTCTTTAAAATTGATGTCAGCTCCTTTGTCCAGTAATTTTTCCACTATTTTAGTATGATTTTGCAAAGCAGCTCGATGCAGTGCTGTTTTCCTGAACTAAAGCAACAAAACAAAAACAAAACAGAAATGTTCGAAAAATTCATCACCAGGTCAAAGTTACTCTGGCCAACTATTTTCATTTAGTTTTAAACTATTACATCAACTTAAATAAATACAGGCAGGCCCGGCCCTAAGCAATTTAGAACCCTAGGCAAGATTTCAGGTGGCGCCCTGTCACATCGCAGTAAATTCCACTGTATAGTCATAAGAAACTAAATAGCTTTTTGATCGACTACTACAAGCTGGGAAAACGTCAGATAAATATGCCAATGCAATTAACATTAATGCTGAATAGATTTAATATTTATGCATTTGTTTGAGGAAGGAATGATGGGGTAGTTACATTACTATTACTATTACTATTTTCCATAACATCTATGCCCTTCTTTAACATTAGCTGACGTCAAAACTAACTGATAGCACTTTAGCTATTTATTGATTAGCAATCTGTCCAACGTTGGATGTAAAAAATATGGGACAACAAATAGCTTTATATTATAGAATACATAGCAAACATTAGAAAATATTGACAATAAAATAAAAGGTTTAGCCTATTAAAATTGATGGCCTATACAGAAATTAAATAAAGCTATAAAATCTACTTCACTTTTAATTGTATTTGCATATTGATTAAAGTCACTATAGTTATTTAGTGAAGAGCAGCAAATGAATCTCTCACTGTGTTTTGTTTAATAACAGAGGTGTTAATGTATGAATGCACAGATCTATAACGAAGCATTCGACTACTTTAGTAACTGTTTGTGCTCATTTAAGAGAAAATTAGTTGTGTTGAAAATAAAACACGCAGGACGCAGCCAAAAAAAAAAACGAAAAAAAAAAAAACTTTTCTGACGGTCCCTTACTAAGACCTCCGCTCCGCTCCGATCCCGGGTGAACGCATATTGGCGAGGGCTTAAATGGAGCAGTGGTCATAATGTTGAGCGGAAAAAAAGAGAAAAAGACAGCTGTGAAACATAGCTTTGCCTTTTGTAGGAAATACACTTTAGATCTTTTTAGGGTAAAAGGTTTTTGAGTTATTGCCGTCTATCACTGAATGTGTCAGGAATACCGAAAACAAAACCAACTTAACCGCGCTCATTTCTGGCGCCCCCCTGGATGTACAGCACCCTTAGCATTGGCCTATACTGCTTATGCCACGGGCAGGCCCTGAATACAGGTAAATAAAACACCAATGGACAGAACATGTACTACACTAAAACAAAACATTCAAAGATGATTCTTTGGATTTACACATTTTTTTAAGCTAAATGGTGGTAAACAATAAATTTGGGCTGAATTTAAACAAGCAAATTACGTTGAACATTACTAAATTTAATTCATTTGTTTAAATTCAGCCCATATAAATTGTTTGCAATAATTTAGCAGAAATATTTTTCCATGTATAATTTCTGACATGATGCACCTCATCACAGGTGTTTGGATCTCCCCCATCGTCCAGAAACCTTTCCACTACTTCCATCTTTCCCTGAGCTGCTGCTTTTAAAAACTCCTCTGGCTCCACAGCTCCCTGACAAACACCACAGAGGTTAATTTAGAAGGTTTAAAAAGCAAGTATTCAGTCTAGTTCAGTTTAGTAATAATCTGTAATATTTACAATATATCCAGTTTTGAATGTCACAGTAATAATTGAACTACAGATGTTTCGTTCTTACAGAAACATTCGTTATGTCTTTGGAAAGTGTTGTCTTGTTCTTGATCTTCTTCTTCTGTGTGCACAGCTCAATAATGTTCTCTGCGCCTCCTAGATCAACAATCTCACGCCTCAGATCAGAGGAGATCTTCCTCACTCGTTCTTCATCCTGTGTGCACAATCAAAACATCTCTTTGCTGTATACATGGAGTATTTTTACAACAATACACAGCTTATCATTTAAGTAGAAATCATGCTCACATACTGTGCTTGTTATTATGCAATCTAGATAATTTTCTCCAAATAACAATAAATAAAAGTGTTGTACTGCAACTTTACATTAACATCTAGTGTTAGTGTTCAAGTGAACCAGCAAGAAGTTTTGCTGGTTCGAGCCTCGGCTGGGTCAGTTGGCATTTCTGTGTGGAGTTTGCATGTTCTCCCCATGTTTGCGTGGGTTTCCTCCGGGTGCTCCGGTTTCCCCCAATGTCCAAAGACGTGCGCTAAATGCACTCTGTGATTTAAACTGGCCATGTATGGGTGTTTCCCAGTACTGGGTTGAGACCAGAAGGGCATCCGCTAAAAAATGCCAGAATAGTTGGCAATTCCTACCGCTGTGGTGGGGCCGACGAAAAATTAAAGAACGAATAAATGTGTGCTTTTGGCAGATGCTTTTGTCCAAAGCAATAAATATTTCAAGCGATATATTCTGTTGAATTTACACAATCCCTTGAATCAAAGCAAATAATTTTTTTGGTAGTCCTACGCTCTACTCATTGAGCAACAGAAAGACTAAAAGAAGAAAAATCACATGACTATTAACCAAAAAATTTAATCTCTGTTATTAATTACTCATCCTCATGTCATTCATCCTCATGTCATTCAGATGAAATCTGAGAACTCCCTCATCCTCCATTTACCAAAACAGTTGTTAGATCAGGGGTGACCAAACTTTTTCCTATAAAGGGCCAAAACACAAACTTGATTGAGGGTTGTGCATGGGCCAAATATATACTAAAATATTAAATATACGGTATATTAAATTTGCCATGGGTGATTTCCTAATTTACTCTGTAATATTTAACAATAACTAGAACAGTTACTCTTCATCCTATTATCTAATGCAGTATCATTTTAAAGATTTTATTATGAACTTATTACAGTAAAAACAAACAATCCCATACATAACACAATGGAGTTCAATGCTGAGTCAAGCTGCTCCTACTTTACCTTGATTTGCTTGCAGATGTCTTATGCATTGTCCTCTATCTATCAAGTGACAGTATTTACATTTCAGAAATCTGATTCATTTACAACATTTAGTTGAATCATTTCATTTCAGTTGGCTTTTTTGTGGCTCAGCAAGAAAACAAAGAATAAAAAGGTTACGTTAAATTTGAAATGACAATCTGTTAAAGGTAATCGCCCCAACCACCTTCCTATCATTCTCCCTCTCTTTTCAGATGATGTGATGGGCCAAATCAAAGGTTACCAAGGGCTAACTTTGGCTCACGGGCCCTACTTTGTCATCTGCTGTAGATGGTCAAAGTTTAGAAAAGGAACCAAAAATATTGTCCATCTTACTTTAGTGGTTCAACTCTACGTGGTTCAGCAGATGAAGCTCCAAGAACACTTTTGTTTGCCAAAAATCAACTTTGATTGCCAGTGTTTTCCACATCAGATGCAATTGTGCGTTTACTACAGCAATATGTTGCTTGTGTTATCGCTGCTAACTCTAATGGCAATACATCATAGTGCTCACAATAAACCTGCACATGACTTGATGCCAGAAAGATGTAGGCAAATAAAGTCATATTTACAATTTTGTTTTGCCCCACAAAGCTTAAAGCTTCGTACTGTTTGATTACAGTACACTGAAATCAAGTGGCATGTTTTGACAATGTTTCTGGTTCTTTTTCTGGACTTTGAACATCTCGAAACATTTGCTGTCTATGAAGGGTCAGACAGCTCTCAGGATTCATCTAAAATATCTTAATTTGTGTATTAAAGATGAACAGAATTTTCATTTTTCGTTGAAATAAACGTTTAAGATTACTTTTAGAGCTAATTGTCTGGCTTTGTCTGTAGTACAGTCCAGTGTTTTACAAGGTTGACCTCTTAATTTTCTACGTTGAGCTGTGAGTTTTAAGCCAAATTCATGCAATATTCCTCCCAGACACAGAAAGAGCTCATTTCATTCAATGCTAGCAGAAGCTCTAGAATTATAAACGCAAAGATAAATTGCAAAGATGCAATGATCTGTTATGCTTCAAGAATTACATTTGCTTGTCCTTTTTTTTTGCATGTTACACTTTAGATATTGTGATCAAGTGGAGAAGAAGCAGCACTGTTTTATCATACTAAATACATTCAATGATTCGGTTACAATGTGTTCTTTGTGTTCTGATAAAACACACAGCATACACTCACAAAAAAATGTTTGCTGTTTGTTCAAACAACTTATTTAAAATGAGCAGAAACAACACCATTTTTCAGATTTACTTAAAAATCCAATTTTTATGTTCAATCCACTTAAATTTTCTAGGCTTTCCTGTTTTTTTTTTATAAAATTGATGGTGTGTGACTACCATGTCAACACAGTCTGTATCACTAATTAAATATGGATTATTTCTCTGGATTTTAAAATTCTTTGAAACTATTGTGTTACATGTAAAAAAAAAATAACCGTTGGAGTGTTTTTTGGATATTTTAATGAAAAAAAGAAAACATTTATATTATGCTTTTAAAAGGGACAGTTGACAATCCAAAACTTTACTTACAATGTTAAAGGTTAAAAATGCCAGTTTAGCAAACATCAAAATAAAGTTTTACTCAAAACACTAACTTACTTTTACGCTAAAAAACACCCACCGGCCACTTTATTAGGTACACCTATCCAACTGCTCGTTAACACAAATTTCTAATCAGCCAATTACATGGCAGCAACTCAACGCATTTAGGCATGTAGACATGGTCAAGACGATCTACTGCAGTTTAAATCGAGCATCAGAATGGGGAAGAAAGGTGATTTAAGTGACTTTGAACGTGGCATAGTTGTTGGTACCACAAGGGCAGGTCTGAGTATTCCAGAAACTGTAGATCTACTGGGATTTTCACGCACAACCATATCTAGGGTTTACAGAGAATGGTCAGAAAAAAAGAAAATATCCAGTGAGCGGCAGTTGTGTGGGTGCTAATGCCTTGATGATGCCAGAGGTCAGAGGACAATGGCCATACAAGGCAACAATAACTCAAATAACCACCCGTTACAACCGGGGTCTGCAGAAGAGAATCTCTGAATGCGCAACACGTCAAACCTTGAGGCGGATGGAAACAGCAGCAGAAGACCACACCGGGTTACCCTCTTGTCAGCTAAGAACAGGAAACTGAGGCTACAGTTTGCACAGGCTCACCAAAATTGTACAATAGAAGTTTGGAAAAACGTTACCTGGTCTGATGAGTTTCGATTTCTGCTGCTGTGAATGGTAGGGTCAGAATTTGGCATCAACAACACAAAAGCATGGATCCATCCTGTCATGTATCAACGGTTCAGGCTGGTGGGAGTGATGTAACGGTGTTGGGGATATTTTCGTTGCACACTTTAGACCCATTAATACCAATTGAGCATCGTGTCAACATGACAGCCTACCTGAGTCTTGTTGCTGACCATGTCCGATCTTTTATGACCACAGTGTACCATCTTCTGATGGCTATCGGATAACGCATCATGTCATAAAGCACGAATCATCTCAGACTGATTTCTTGAACTTCACAATGAGTTCACTGTACTTAAATGGCCTCCACAGTCACCAGACCTCAGTAAAATAGAGCACCTTTGGGACGTGGTGGAACAGGAGATTCGCATCATGGATGTGATGCTATCATGTCAAGATGGACCAAAATCTCTGATGAACATTCCCAGTATTTTGTTGAATCCACGCCACAAAGGATTAAGGCAGTTTTGAAAGGAAAAGGAGGTCCAACCTGGTACTAGTCAGGTGTACCTAATAAAGTGGTCAATAAACAATAAACTGAAACAAGTTTTTTTTGAAGGGGAGACAACTTAATTGTTTTATGTTCGATTCACTTATATTTGGTAAAACCAATAAGTTAACCACTGTAAAAAATGCTGGGTTCCACACAATTGATTTGCGTTGGTACAACCTGAAGGAATTAAGCTAACTTTGTTTGTTTTTTTTACAAATTTAAGTGAATTGAACATAAACAATTAAGTTGTCCCTAAAACAATCAAGAATTGTGTTGTTTCAGCTTATTTTAAATAAGTAGTTTGAACAAACAACAAATGTCATTTTTTGAGTGTTAATTGTCCTACATGCCTGTGTGGAACTTTTACAGTGTACCAGATATTGAACAGACGGTTTACTAATAGTTACTACTACTTACACTGAAAAAGCTTTTCACTCTACAAAAGTTCCTTTAAAGTGGACAAGGATTATTTAGAATAAAATTGAAAGAAAATAAAACTCTGTTTAGACACTTGTAGTGTAATGACTGCTATAGTTAACAAAAAGTGACAGACAACAGAAGTGTTTCCTCAAAATTATCTCAAACATTTTTCCACTCACCTGAATATCTGCAAGACTTTGATTGACAGATACATTCCCTCCTTCGGCTCCCGCATCCACAACCAAAATCCCCAACTTCCGAGCCCGAGCTCGACGCTTCTATGCAATGTCAACAAAAGTGAACATACAAACTTTTTCCACACAAGCATGTCCAACATCTAATACATGCAAACAATAATCAAAATAATCAGTAAATCCATTTTAAATCTCATACCTCCTCACGTTTATCAAGAGCTGCTCTTCTGTCCACCACAGCCGTCGCCCACAGGATGTTTTCATCCATTATGACAAAGAATAATAATAATACCTTGACTCAAAAACCAATGGTGCTGTTAAAAGCAGAGCAGATCTACTGTACTGAGATCTGAACAGGTCTTATAGCTCACAGCAGGAATGTAAAGCCAAGTCAGGCCCAGTGTGACAGCTGTGGACAGAAGCTTCTGGACCCAACACAAAAACGCAGCCCGCTGCTATCCATGAGCTCAATGTTCAGTGTTCAGGCCATTTTTACAAGAATCACGGCACGTTTAGCCTCCTGTTTTGGCAATTATGTTATTTATAAGTCTTTCATTAGTGTCAAGTGATACCTCATAACTAGTTTCAAAGAATGCCTGTTAACAAACAACGACCAATCACTGAACGGCATTCAGGAACAACCTGTTTGTTGAACACAGACAAATGTTAAGATTGAGTATTTGTGAAATGTAGTTTGTGATCGAATAAACAGAAGCAAATAGCTGTGAAGGTGAGCTCAAAGTTGACATTTTCAATAAAACTATCATTAAAAGTGGTACAAGTGTTGAGTAACAGCAAGTGATCATGTGGCATACTGTGTGTTACAAGCGCGAATACTCATGAAGGTTTGGTTTGATTTGATTTCACAACATGTAGCCATGTTGTTCAAGTCCTTCAAATGACCAGTTATTAAATGCTGAAAGTCATACCCTATCTTTTGCAAAGCCAGCTCAATTTTTATTGTATTGTTTAAGGGGAAATGAATCAATTGGAAAATATAAATTAAATAAAAAACCATTCTGCTATTTAGAAGTTCAGTTATTTTAGAGTAATGAAAAACATTGGTGGAGAGAAAACTGAATTTATTTTTAAACAGATATAATAATAATAATAATAATAATAATTTGCTGCCGATAATATATATAGGCCTATTGCTATTGTGACATAAATGTTATATCTATTCAAAATAATAATAACAATAAATGATGCTATATGATCAACTCACCTTATATGTAAATTTAATTTATATATATATATATATATATATATATATATATATATATATATATATATATATATATATATATATATATATATATACACACACACACACATATATACATATATATTTAAAAATCCAACGGTTAAAACAAGATTGTCAGTTTGGTAATTTTTTTAAATACTTTTATTTATTCGAAAATGCAATAAAGTAACAAAAGGTGACAATACAGACTTTCTAACCTTGTTTAAAAAGAAAAAGGGGTATATATACTCAACCGGTTAAATGTTTGGTGTCAGTTGTTTGTTTGTTTTCTTATGTTTTTTTTTTTTTTAAAGAAAACTATTCTGTTCATCAAGGCAGCATTTATTAAATGTAAAGAAAAATTACAAGTTGCAAAAATATTTAAATATTAAATATTTATTAAAATAAAAAAATGCTATTTATTGCATGTAGTTTCAAATGAGATTATTACTCCAGTCATTATTAATTTTATTACTATTACCATTAATAATAATAATAATAATAATAATAATAATAATAATAATAATAAATATAAGAGTGTTTTCTGAAGGATCGTGTGACTCTGAAGACTGGAGTAATGAAGCTGAAAATTTATCTTTAAAATCACTGGAATAATTTATTAAATTAAATTATAAACTACTTTTGAACAGTTATTTTATAGTGCAATAACATTTCACAATTTTACAATTTGTACTGTATTTCTGATTAAATAAATGCAGCCTTGGTGAGCAGGAGAAGCTGATTTTAAAACATTTAAAAACCTTACTTTTATTCATCAAAGAATTTATAAATGTATCATGGCTTTTATAAAATAGTTAAATATTTGCTAATCTGCATATGAAATATTACTTTAGCATCAAACCATTACCAAAACAATATTAGAGTATTTCTGATTAATCAGGGCTTTTTTTGCTTTCAGCAATTTTTAATCAAAATGACTTTAATTTGCAGTAATATTTGACAAGTAATGTTTTACCATATTTGTTAAAGGTCATGTATAGCAACTGTGCTTGTTAATAATTTAGTAATGTGTACTAGTTGTACATAAATTAAAATAAATAAAATATTACTTATATTCCTAATTAAACAAAACAACGTACAGTCAAAAAAAGGTTTGCATAATGTTTAGTTATTAAGATTATTTATTTGCATTCAGCAATATTTTTATCCCTCCTGCGAGTTTAGTTTTCTTTTTAAAAAAAAATTCAAATGATGTTTACAAGAGAAATGAGTTTTTCACAGTAATTCCAATAATATCTTTTTTTTTTTTTTCTGGAGAAAGTCTTATTTGTTTAATTTATTATTTATTTTTTAATCATTTTAAGGTCAATAATAGCCCTCTTATAAGCAATTGTTTTTTATGTCTACAGAACGAGCCATACAATGACTTGCATAATTACCCTAACTTGCCTAATTAACCTAGTTAAGCCTTTAAATTGCACTTCAAGCTGAATACTAATATCTCAAAAAATATCTAGTAAAATAGTATGTACTGTCATCAAGGCAAATATAAAATTAATCAGTTATTAAATGAGTTATTAAAACTATTATGTTTAGAAATGTGTTTAGAAATCTTCTCTCTGTTAAATAGAAAATATACAGGGGGCTAATAATTCTGACTTCAAATATAAAAGGTCTTTGTAATGCATATGTTGGCTATGTCATCAAACATATTCACAAATGGCAGTGTGTGATTGTTTAAACAGCAGACTAGATAAAGCACAGTGGTGTACGGCGTCTCAGACAAGTGAATGATTAACTGTGAGGAGGGACAGAACACTCACAACACCACAGCGGATGAAAGACAGAAGCAGAGCTCAAATTCAGCACAACGCCGACATGCTTCATCTCCACAGCTGAGAGAAGGAAAAAAAAAGACCTGATAGAAGAGGTAAGAAGTAACAGAGATAAGCAAATAACAGCTTAAATGTTCTGTGAATGGAGGCTATTGTTAATTATTGACTAGACAGAACAAACATCAAGCTGATGGTTGAATTCATGTTCCAGTAGGAGTATTTGGGAAGTGATTGGGAAAATGGTGACTCTGAAACACTTGAGTGTTAATGATAATGATGAAGACGGTGTTCCTTTGTTACCGGAAGCCAGCAGCTTGGAGAGTCCAACCACACAACACAGCAGGGCAGAGTCCAGAGATTTCTTTCTCAGCCGGTGGGTTTGCCTGGGATAAACATTGACAGAAACATGACATGCACACATTAAAATCTTTTATACAATAATAAAAGTTCAGATGGAAAAATCTCTAAGCACCGTCTGAAATTCCCATCAACTTTGAGCATTATTTTTAGCCTCTTAAGTTTGTTGAGTTATTTCACAATAAGGATCATGAAAATAACTTATTCTTTGCCATAAATGTGAAATTACTGAACCTACACACAGGAATCTGATAAAAATGTTTTATATTAATAAATTAGATGTAATTTAGAGGTTTTTGCATGTGAACTTGCATGTTCAATTTGTTCTTTTACGCTAAAAAAATGTTTAATTTTTAAAAAAAATATATAACTATGGAACAAAATTAGAGACATTCTCTGATTTATAGGTTAAACATAACCACTAAAATAAAAATACTGTCATTTAGAAGACAATGTAACGCAATTTGTTTATTCGTTTACTTGTGACACTTGTAAGACTGTTGTGTTATGTTTTCAGGAGGTATAACTTCATTGTGAGCATCGTTCTGCTGTTGAGCCTTTACTCTGCTCTTCTGGTTCCTGCATATCTGCCAACAGCAGAGCCCATCTGGACTAATGAGAGCTCTGCTGAAAATCTGGTACAGTACTTCACTGTCTCACCACACCAAAACCATCAACTGCACATCAGTTTGTAGGATATGACTTCTTTAATTTAAGAGAACCGATTTTAAACTTTGACTTTACTCTAAGCTTGAGATTGAAGTTTACATATTATACCAGCTGTATTGTTTCTGCAATAAAACATATAACATTGAAAGAAAATCCCTTGCAATAGTAACAGGCCTATTAGAATACTTATATTATAGAGGATATAAATGTGTCAATAAATATAAAAATCATTGCATTTGTTAAATAAATAAACATTATTAGAAAGATTTTTGGGGTCATGCTTTTTCATTTTTTATTTTTATTTTAACCTTTATCAACAATACATTAAAAAAAACTGTAAAATTTATACATTTTATTACAATTTATAATGATTACTTTTATGATTACTAATTCTATCTGACACATTCCTCACCATGACTAGTTGGTGGAAATATTTAATAAAGAGGAAGTTCAGAAAAGAGTATTTAATGTAACATTAAAATCCTTAAATGTGATAATAAACGTTTGACCACACTTTATTTTAAGGTACAATTCTTGCTGTTAATAAACTATTATATGACTTTTGGTCCAATTAACTCTAATATAAGTATTTATTAAGGTACATTACTAATTAGCTTTATGTATTAGGTAGGGTTAGGAGTGTAGTAAGATCATACAAACTAAAAACTAAAAAAACAATACCTTAATAGGCAGGTTATAAGCCACTATTTAATAGTGAGAATTGTTGCTTAAACTAAAATGTCACCTCTTTTAAATAAATTAACGTATCCTTGATGGATACTTTTAAATTGCATTTTAAAAACATCTAAATATAAATAAATTATAATTAATAATAATTAAAATTGCTACAAAACTAACATGCAACTAACACCTTCGGTAGCATTTTATAACAGTTTTTTTATATTAAAAAAAATTATATATTTTTTTATAAAAGTCAAATTTAAGACTTGTTAAAAACATGATTAATAAAATTTCAGGCTTATATAACGCTATGGATTTTATTAATGGCTTAGCAGAAAATAAAATGTACATGCCCAGTCAAAAAACTAATTCTAATTAGCTATTGCTTAGCCACATATATTTTAATAATGTGTCAAAACAAGCAGACCCTAGTTATACACATAATTTCTTTTCAACATAACTTTAAAACAAACCTCTAATCGTAATGTCTGCACAACAAACTGCTATTATATTAGTTATGAATATAGTTTTGCTTAAAATGTTATTGAGATGTATTGTTGGTTGTTGGATGCGTGTTAGATGGATTGGGTAGCTTTACTTAAATAAAGTAAACGTTAGGACCCGTTTAAAATGATTTAGGACAATATTTCAGGGAACTTAAGACTTTTCACAGCCTAAAATTTTGTTTTTGAAACTTAAAACATTTTTAAGTTTGCATGAACCAGAAGCTGTGACTTTTTTTTTTATTGTGACGCAGTTCCTATAGAAACAAATATTTAATTAAAACAGTAGGCGTGGCTTACTTTTTCTACTGCGAGCTGATTGGAATCAGTATGGGTTTTAGAAGAGTTATTACAACCAAACAGACCCTTCCTCCTCCTCCTCCTCCTCACCATTTCTGTTTGATACGAAAACCCTTCCCAATACCTCAGACATACGTAATTTGTAAAAAAAAAAAAAAAAAAAAAAAAAAAAAAAAAAAAAAAAAAACAGGAAGTGCATTTTCAGATTTGTATTTTAAATTAGAAGGGCAAACTATTTTCTTTTTCCTAATCATGCACAGATGAATTGTTCACCACAAAACTAGCAATGCTAGTGATTTTATGTGTACTTGAAGACTTTTTAAGATGCCAAGGATACCCTGATAACAATAAAGATGTGTCTAACCGCTCATCATATGTGTGCTCCTCAGGCTCTGCTGAATCAGTCTGCATCTCTGCTGTCTCAGTCATGTCACAGCGGCTGGAGTGTAGAGAGGATGAGGACTATGTTGTCCACTCCAGCCGGTCTGCTGAAGATCCCTGTGTTCTTGGAGAACGGCACTGGAGATTGGGCTCTGCCTCCTCCGCTGGGTCTGCAAGGCAGTGAAGAGATGGCAGAGCAGGCCCTGAAAGCTCTGCCATTCACCGCTGTGCCAACCGGACCAGAGACCTGTAGGAGATGTGTGGTGGTCGGAAGCGGCGGTATTTTACACGGCAAAAATCTTGGAGCTCATATAGACCAGTACAACATTATCATTAGGTTAGTTCATTACTGTAACACATACAGTACAGTTACTGCGTGGATAAAAAAAAAAAAAAACTAGATTATGCTGTTTTTCTGAAAAAACTGATACAATAATTCACTGTCTGACCACACCAAAACAAACAACTGCAGATTAAAGTTTACTTATTATAGAACTCAATGTTTTTCAGCATTTTAAAACAAAAGCAAGATTTCAAATGTGCCGTCTAAAATTTCCATCAAAAATGAGCATTATTTTCCTTTGTTTATGTTGAGTTATTTCCCTTTGAAGACCAAAGAAAGAACTTATTTTTTGCCATAAAGAAAATAATTCACCAAACCTACACACAGCCTGATAAAAACGCTCATTTTAGAAGAAAGTTTCAGGTGGCATTTAGAGGCTTTTGCATCTGAACTGTTTACATATGGAACAATAATCCTTTGATAATATGTATTAACAAAATTGTGCTGTTTTGTTTGAGTATAATGTTGATATTTATTTGATTTTATAAAGGTCTGTGAAACCTTTATAAAAGTTTCATATAAAATTATTGCTATTTATGGAGCATTTTATCCCCAGAAAATGATAAATGGTCAAAATGACAAATGTTTTAATGCACTGCATCATAAGGTGTAGGGAAAATGTGGATGATGTTGCATTTTAAACATAAAGGAAAAAACCGATGACTAAAATAAACAATGAATAATTTCCAGAATCTAATAATTAATGATTATGAAATAATTAATGAATGAATGAAAAAAAAAACTCATTAATGAAATAAAAGATTTCCAGTGTCTTATTGGAAACATATTCAATTTTAATAATTCAGTCATTGCCAAAAAAATGACTTGCTTTATATATACTACCGGTCAAAAATTTGGGGCCAGTACGATTTTTAAATGTTTTAAAATCAGCTTATCCTGCTCACCAAGGCTGCATTTATTTAACCAAAAACATAGTACAAACTGCAAAATTGTGAAATGGTATTGCACTGGTTTATAATTTAATTTAATCATTTATTCCACTGATTTAATTTATGAACTTTCAGCTTCATTACTCCAGTCTTCAATAACATGAACCTTCAGAAATCACTCTAATATTAATTATTATTATTATTTTATTTTTATTACTTTATTTTTATTTAAAGGTAACAGTAATAAAAGCAATAATGACATTATGACAGTTTTGAAACTACATACAAGAAGAAAGCAGTTATTTAAAATTTTGATAAATATTTAACAATTTAAATTTTTTTATATTTAATAAATGCTGCGTTGATGAACAGAATAATATTCCTTAAAAAACAAGAAAACTGACATCAAAATTTTGACTGGTAGCGTGTGTGTGTGTGTATAATTATCATTTTATTTTATTTTTTATTTTTTTTAAATAAACAGAAATTAGTTTTTTTGGCCATATTATTTGTCAACTTGGTTATTATAATGGTAATTATTTGACAAATGATTTATGGACATACGTTTAATTGTAATTTTTTTTTTTTTTTTTTTACTTATTTTACATTTAATTACTACTAAAGAACTTTTTATAAGAATTATATATCATTAAAAGAAATGTATTTCCCAGTACTGGGTTGCGGATGCTAATTTAAAACTTATGCCAGAATAGTTGGCGGTTCATTCTGTTGTGTCAACCCCTGATAAATAAGAGGCTAAACCGAAGGAAAATGAATGAATGAAATGGAAAATAAAATACTGTATTAGCACAATATTACATGATAGAAAAAAAACAAACTAACACTGGCTAATTTGGTCAACAAGAAATCCTGATTAAAAAGATGAAAGATATCATTAGAAAAAAGAGATAAAATCTTTGGAAACTAAATGTACCTAAAACTGTAGATTTGCTTAAATGCATTGAAAAACATTTGATGTAGAACATTTTCACAAAAATATCTAAATAATTACATACAGTATACAGTGTTGAAGTACATTTTTACATGTATTTTTGGCCTTAACAAATTACATTACTAATATTATTTTAATCTCCATACCTACAGAGTGAATAATGCTCCAGTGTTTGGATTTGAGAGCGACGCTGGCTCAAGAACTACCATTCGCCTCATTTATCCAGAAGGAGCTCCTTCCCACATACAGGAATACGAGAGAACTGAAGTCGTAGCTTTGGTTGTGTTCAAGAGTTTAGATTTAGCATGGATGACCTCGGTAGTAACCAAAGAGCCTTTGGTGAGTAATGTCAGAAGGCTAAATTCACAGTTAACACATGTTCATACTTGTTTAGAAAGAAGTCTCTTCAGCTTTCACTAGTGATATCTGCACTACATTGATCTGAGTACAACTGAACTTCAACAGTGATATTTAAACTAAACTGAAGAAAATCAGTTTTAATTCAACTAGAACTACACCAGCATCCTACCACAACTGTCCTGCCTGCCTGATTAGCTGGAATGTTCCACTATGTGAAATAATGTTATGGCTTTTTATTTTTGTTAAGCTGCTTTGACACACTGTAAAAAGAGCTTTAGAAATAATGATGAATTGAACTGATTATAAAATGTACAGTAAAATCAGAAATGCTGCAAAATGCTGAATATTTTTGTCAAAATTGTACTTATTCCTGTGTTTTAAAGTGGAATATTGAGCATCATTTATAATGTGCACTTCATTCTTCATTCTCTGTAAGCTAAAAGACATGGTCCAAAATCAACAAAACTGAGCATTTATTAAACCATTGTGTTTTTTTGTAGAGCTGGTGGTCTAAACTGTGGTTCTGGAAGGATGTAATAGACTCAATACCTCTACAGCCAGAAAACGTTCGCATCCTGAATCCCGAAATCATGTACAGGACTGGACAGGTGCTGCAAACCTACGCAGAACAGCAGAGAAAGGTCTGAAATTAGAATGAATTTCTTTTTAATTATGCAAACTCAAAACATCCACGTCTGCTGTCTTTGAATTTAAAATGTTGTTAAACTGACGGCATCACAGTGTTCATTGGACAAGAACTTCCCAGGAAGGACATATAAAAACTGCGTCGTATTTAGGGGCATGAAAATGTAAAGTTGGTGCTATATATATACTAAGCAAATGTAATCTAAGCTTTTAAACAATTTGTTTTCATGCATCTTTGTTAACTATGTAAAAATTAAATCAATTAGTTCTACTTTTTCTTAGGCTTGACGCACAGAACAAATCAGAATCAGAATCTTTATTCTCATTGATTGTACAAAATACAACGGAATTTACGCTTGCCCTTCCCTTCAGTGCAATCCGATTTATCTAAAACAGAGGTCACCAAACTTGTTCCTGGAGGGCCGGTGTCCTGCAGATTTTAGCTCCAACCCTAATCAAACACACCTGAACAAGCTAATCAAGGCCTCACTAGGTATACTCGAAACATCCAGGCAGGTGTGTTGAGGCCAGTTGGATCTAAACCCAGCAATGACACTGGCCCCCCAGGACTGAGATTGGTGACCCCTGATCTAAAACAACAATAAAAAGAGATAAAAAGATAAAATAACACAATAATTAATCATAAAAGGAGTAACAATACAATACTAAACGTGCGTATGATGAGCGTATAAAGTGGCAAGGGCATTTTGAATTTAAAAGTGAATAAAATGTGGACTGGCGACGCAGTGGCGCAGTGGGTAGCACGTTCGCCTCACTGCAAGAAGGTCGCTGGTTCGATCCTCGGCTCAGTTGGCGTTTCTGTGTGGAGTTTGCATGTTCTCCCTGCGTTCGCGTGGGTTTCCTCTGGGTACTCCGGTTTCCCCCACAGTCCAAAGACATGCGGTACAGGTGAATTGGGTAGGCTAAATTGTTCATAGTGTATGTGTGTGTGTGTGTATGTTTCCCAGAGATGGGTTGCGGCTGGAAGGGCATCCGCTGCATAAAAACTGGCGACCCCAGATTAATAAAGGGACTAAGCCAACAAGAAAATGAATGAATGATTGAAAATGTGGGCCAGAAAGGCATACAATTTAATGTCCAAGCGTATAAAGTGGCAAGTGCATTTCCTATAAGCAAGTTAAAAAGTGAGTAAGGTTAAAATGATTTGGGCCAGAAACAGCCTCAATTTAATGTCTATTCATTATGGCAACAGCCCTTGGATGTATACTATTTTTAGTCTGTTTGATTTGGCTTTTATTGTCCTGTATCGTCTCCCCAAGGTAACCTTTGAAGTAGATGGTATGTTGGATGGGATGAGTCCTTCAGGATGCTGCGTGTTGTTGTTTATTCCACAAATGTTGTTTGTTTCTTCCTGTTTTCTTCTTTTGAGCACTGCAGACCATGCTAATTAAAATTGTGTAATTAGAATTATGTTTTGTATTAATTCAATAATAAATGAATAAATAATTAGCATTTTGAATGATAGTATACACTCACTGGCTACTTTATTAGGTAAACCTGTGCTACTCCTCGTTAACGCAAATTTCTACTCAGCCAATCACATGGCAGCAACTGAATGCAATTAGGCATGTAGACATAGTCCATAGATATATACACTAGATATCGCATAGGGACCCTGAGCATACGTCAATAGAGCCGCCACATTGGTACAGTGCTCCCAGGACAAATGTCATTCAACCGCACTAGTCAAGACAGTGTTATTACGTGAAGATGCGGGACTTTAGCGCTGTCTACGGGTGTAGTAACGAGCAAACAAAGAAAAAAAAGCATAAAGGCAAAACATTTCATAGGTAATATTATGTTTTTTCTGTTTTTGTATGTTCTGAACTTTTGTGCTAATCAGGTAACGTTATTGATGATAACAGTCACTTACTGAATTCACCATACGGCAAAGCAGCTCCAACTCGCACTAAACACTCGGCTTATGCCAGTTTTGTTGAATAAAATCAGCAAACAATGCAAAAGAAATATGACAACGAGATGCTGCGCAGCCAGAAACTTGTATTATTGTCGCCTAACGTTAGTGAAAGAGATCGGGGGATTCATTCACAAACGCATCGCTCCCTCCGTCAGTATGAGAAGTGAAAGCAGATGAGGTGTGTTTCAGGACACAGATTTGATTAAATTTAACAGGGAGGGTGAATAGTACATTTCTGTACACACAACACAAGCTTTTTGTCAGGAATGCCCGTGTGCTAAATCATCAATGTAGAAAAGTGATGTAAAATTATAATTTTCGTAATTAGAAAAAAATTACATACTAACATCCAGGAAAACTCCCGATCATAGATATATGTGTTTATGTGTATATCTCTGGCTTTGCATGGCCACAGTCCTCCACTGTACCTTGGTCCCGCATTCATTTCAAAGGAGCACTACCCTGTAGCAAGATGGCGGCGCTATTGACGCATTCCGTCCAATAGACAATAGGCCAGGCGACATCTAGTGTATATATCTATGGACATAGTCAAGACGATCTGCTGCAGTTCAAACCAAGCATCTATATTTCATCTAAGCATATATATTTCATGGGTAAAAAAGATGAATGACATGACAACATGAATGAATGTTTAGCTGTTATCATAAGGACGGATTGGTAAGTAATTTGTCAACTTGAAGCAGGGAAAAAAAAAATCACTTCTTTTGACCTTTCAGAATTTTTTTTAAAATTGACTCAATGATTGAAGAAATTTACATATTAATATCTTTCATCCCAATCAAATTCTCAGCCATGTTCCCTCATCCACTTTATCTTTTGTTGATTAGATGGTGCCAACTCTGGGTATAACCGCAGTGGTTGTGGCCCTGCAGGTGTGTGATGAGGTGAGCATAGCTGGATTCGGATACGACCTGCAGCACCCTGGAGCTCCGCTACATTACTACGGCTCTCTCCGCATGGACGCCATGAAGACGCAGGTGGTTCACGATGTTAGTGCCGAGACTGTCTTTCTGAAAGAGCTGGTCAAAGCTGGAGCGGTGCGAGACCTCACTGGGGCACTGTGAGAGACCACTGCAGACACTCCACAACAGCTGAAAGAAGAAATGAAGAGAATGAAAAGCAACAGAAAACACAATAGATTTATAGCATGCTGTTTCGACCATTCTCATGATATGATATACAGCTGAAGTTATTAGTTATTATGATATACAGTAAATTATTAGCCCCCCCTGTAGATTTTTCCCCAAATTTCTGTTTAACAGAAAGAAGATTTTTTTTCAACACATTTCTAAACATAATAGTTTTTAATAACTGATTTATTTTATCTTTGCCATGATAACAGCCTATAATATTTTACTAGATATTTCTCAAGATACTAGAATTCAGCTGAAAGTGAGATTTTTAAGGTTTAACTAGGTTTATTCCAGTAAGCTAAAGTAAGGGTAATTAGGCAAGTCCTTGTATAACAATGGTTTGTTCTGTAGACAATTGAAAAAAAAATGTTTTAAAATGTTTTTAAAAAATTTTAAACTGTTTTTATTGTAGCTGATAGAAAACAAATAAGACTTCCTCCAGAAGAAAAAAAAACATTATTATAAATACTGTGAAAAATTCCTTGCTCTGTTAAAGATCATTTGGGAAATACTTGAAAAAAAAAAGAAAGAAAAAAAAAAATCACAGAAGGGCTCATAATTTTGACTTCAACTGTATTAATATAAACAATTCAATACCTGATATCAAAATTAAATTATTGATATCAAGTATTGCATTTTATCTAGAAAAACTATTTAATATGTAATTATTTATATCTTTGTATTTTCATTTAATGTCTCCATCGGCTGCTACTCAAATTTAATTGCTGATTTTAATAATTGAATACTTATTAGTAATTATTCCAATGTTCCAATAGTTCAAAATGTGACTGGACATTGTGAAAACTATTGGGTAAATGTTGGGATAAAATACAATACAGACATTACCTAACTTAAATTTAAAATGGGAACATGACAGCTAAATTAAAACCAAAGCTATAATACATAACATCTATAAAACTAAAATAAAACACTTTTTTTACTTAAGCTTTATAAAAGATGACAAAAAATTGTTCTGAAAATTATTTCATATTTATTTATCTCGTCAAACACCAATACATATTTTACATATTGTGTAAAAAATGTTTTAGATTCTGTATTTATTCAAGCAAAGTATAAATGAGATTTCAGCGTACAGAGAAAAACATTCAGTCATGTAAAAAAACATCACTTTTATATTTTAACACCTAAATCAGAGAGTAAAAAACACTTTCGCTAGATTTCTTTAACTACAATTTTAACTCGGGGAATGTTTTGTTGTATGTGTGTAACAACATTCATGATCAAGAATTACAGCTACAAAAAAAAAAAAAAAAGTGTTTCAAGAAATGAATTCTGCTATGCGATACATTGGATGTTTTTGGCTGCTGGACAAATAAACTGACACTTTTCTTTTAAGATGTAGATTTGTATTTTTCAGTTATAACTTACAGGGGATAGCACATCCCAAAATAAACATTTTCTGTTACTCTACACATCCTTGGTCTATTCAAGTTGTATAGGACTTTTTTCTTTTCAGTAGATCTTCAACTAAAACCCTTTTTCCCGATATGGAAAAAAAGCATGCATACTAAAGTACTAATCTGTTGTGGTATTTTGAGGTAAAATTTCTGCATGTACAGTTTCATCTTCTATAATTCTTCACAGCTTACTGTAGTAAAACTAAATTGATAGTTGATTTAAATTTTAAGTCGAATCAAATAAAATGTGAGACTTTAATTATATTGAGCTCATTTAAACCAGTGCTTAACCAGTTTGCATGTTCTCCCCGCATTCGCATGGGTTTCCTCCGGGTGCTCCGCTTTCCCTGACAAGTCCAAAGACATGCGGTACACGTGAATTGAGTAAGCTAAATTGTCCATAGTGAATGTGTGTGAATGAGAGCGTATGGGTGTTTCCCAGTGATGGGTAGCAGCTGGAACGGCACTTTCTGCGTAAAACCTATGCTTGGGGACCCCAAATTAATAAAAGGATTAAGCCGAAGGAAAATGAACGAATGAATAGTTCACACTTTAAACACTGTTTACTATAAATTGCTACATTGTATTTTTTTCTTATGGAATCTTTTCGGATTCAAATGACTGAATGATGATGACTCACAAGGCATGAGCTCAAGATCAAATCAACCAATATCACATGAAATGGGGAAGCTTTACATGTCGAAAGCATTTAAAGTAAATACAGTCTTTAACAACTTCACTGACATAAAAAATTTAAAGATCATAAAAACTTTCATTGCAGCTCGCAATTTCTTCAGAACCGTTTGCTTAGTTTAGTCAATGCAAGTAACTGAAGCATTGAACAAGTTTGCAAACATGGCATCATACATTCCTAATATCGTTCGGAATTATGATTTATGATTGATAAACAGTAGATTGGTTCACTTCAAGTAAGAATGACTGTCTGAAATTTTAAAAGTGCTACCTCACGCAAACTGTTTCAGACAGTTCAGTTGATTTGGTGAACTGATTCACTAGTTCTCAAAAAAGAATCATTCAAATATCCATTCGCAAACCGGGAATCGCTCAAGACCATTTTACTAGACGGTGGATTAAAAAAATAATAATGTTGTAAATAAAGTTCTTTTTTTTGTTGTCAATAATATTCAAACAATGTTACTGCATTGGTCACTTCACTTCATATCACCTCAAATAAATCACCGGAGACAATGCTTTGCCTGTAGGCCAGTGGTGTCCAAACTCGGTCCAGGAGGGCCGGTGTCCTGGAGAGTTTAGCTCCAACCCTAATAAAACACACCTGAACCAGCTAATCAAGCTTACTAGATATACTAGAAACTTCCGTGCAGGTGTGTTGAAGCAAGTTGGAGCTAAACTCAGCAGGACACCGGCCCTCCAGGACCGACTTTGGACAACCCTGCTGTCGGCCTATCAATGTTTTTTGGTCATTTAAAATTTCTAATTTAGTCTTGTGAAATGCTGTGGTCCACTGAAGAAAAAAAGCTGCCATATCTAGGATGGCCTGAGGCAGAGAAAATTAGCATCAAAATGTTCATTTTGGAGTAAACCTTTACACCTTTTAGTCATTTATTTACTACATTTGTAGTCATTGATGACTGGTTTAATAATGTAAATGATTTGCTTAAAGAACTAGCAGTTCAGCTTATGCGACTTCTCATGGCATTTTAAAGGGTCTTTACTATAATATTTGGTCCAGGTATCACAAAAAGCATCAGTTAAAAATAACAGACATGTTTTTGCATTATGAGCACCATAAAGTAGTTGTTCCTCTGTTCATTTGCACATTACATTTAGTTTGTTAATGAAGAGCAAGAAACGCGATGTTTCGTTTCCCCGCCAGTGTTTTCTACAGTGAGTTACCTGAACTGAAACAAGGAAGTGCTTGTGCAGAAAGTGCAGAAAAGTCTTCATCTAGATTACAGATCATGCAGCTACAGAATAAATTGATATGAGGAGTGTGTATGTGGATTGTCACAGGAGTGGGATGCGGGTTGGCTCCCATAGCTTGCGGGCCAGTTGGCTGCAGTGCTGGAGAATATATTCATTAGGGATCACGCCCAGGTGAACAGTCAGCAGTTCATAACACTTCACCACTTCATTCTGATGTTTTTTGCTGTAGTACCGCAGCAGTTTCCTATAATGGCATCAAAATACCAGAGACAAAAACACAAAAGTTGATAAGAATTAAATGGGTTTCATGGGGTAGATCTAGAATAAGTGTGAAGGTTTCTAACAATCCAGTATCAATATTAAAAATGTCCATTTTCCAAAAAATACTTTAAAATCATTAAAGCCGTTGAGCTCTGAGGCGGTCACTGAATGCTATGAACTTTAATTTAAATTACTCATGTTTAACTGATGGATATGTTATTTTCCATTATTCTGTAGAGAAAATTCCATGAATGTGAGAGTCAGAAATATCAAATCTGAAGTACTACAAATGACAATCAAGTCGATCATGCTATGCTGTCAAAACGATACAAATAAATTTTGCAATATACTTAAAATATATTATTTCTAAAGATATACAAACTATTTAAATTAATTTAATAAAAAACAAAAGCTACAACACTGTACACAGTGTCTTTTGTCATATTTTCACATAGATTTACCTTAAATATTTGCAATATGATTCAACTCGAAGCTTGTTGACTTAGCTTCTAACCTATAAGACTTAAAAAAAATAAAATAAAAAATCAGAGTAGGAAAAAATAAGTGGAAAAATATCGGAAAACTATAGCAACAGCTAAATCCACTCACCAGGCACTTTATTAGGTACACCTTACTAATAGCGAGTTGTACCCCTTTTGCCTTCAGAACTGCCTTAATCCTTTGTAGCATAGATTCAACAAGGTACTGGAAATATTCCTCAGAGATGTTGGTCTATATTGACATGGTAGCATCACACAGTTGCTACAAATTTGTTGACTGCACATCCATGATGTGAATCTCTCATTTTACCACATCTCAAATGTGCTCTATTGGATTAGTATCTGGTGACTGTGGAGGTCATTTGAGTACAGTGAACTCATTGTCATGTTCCAGAAACCAGTCTGAGATGATTCACGCTTTATGACATGATGAACTATCATGCTGGATTTAGCCCTCAGACGATGGGTTCATTGTGGTCATAAAGGGGTAGACATGGTCAACAACATCCAGGTAGGCTGTGATGTTGACACGATGCTCAATTGGTACTAATGGGCCAAATTCTGACCTACCGTCCCAATGTTGCAGCAGAAATAGAGACTCATCAGACCAGACAACGTTTTTCCAATCTTCTATTTGAACGTCTAATTGTAACCTCAGTTTCCTGTTCTGAGCTGACAGGAGTGGCATACGGTGTGGTTCTCTGCTGCTGTAGCCCATCTGCCTTAAGGTTGGACGCGTTTTCCACTCAGAGATGCTCTTCTGCAGACCTCGGTTGTAACGAGTGGTTATTTGAGTTACTGTTGCCTTTCTATGAGTTTGAACCAGTCTGGCCATTCTCCTCTGACCTTTGGCATCAATAAAGCATTTGCACCCACAGAACTGCCACTCACTGGATATTTTCTCTTTTCCGACCATTCTCTGTAAACCCTAGAGATGGTTGTGGGTGAAAATCCCAGTAGATCAGCAGTTTCTGAAATACTTAGACCAGCCTGTCTGGCACCAACAACCATGCCACGATCAAAGTCACTTAAATCACCTTTTTTTCCATTCTGATGCTCGGTTTGAACTGCAGTAGATTGTTTTGACCATGTCTACATGCCTAAATGCATTGAGTTGCTGCCATGTGATTGGCTGACTAAAAATTTGCATTATCGAGCAGTTGGACAGGTATACCTAATAAAGTGGCCGGTGAGGGTCAAACCTCAACTTTTACTTCTAATTCTGTATTAAACAGCTATTTTTGTCATTTACAATAATCTTTAAACTAGGCTTTACCAAGAAATGTTAAAGATGCATCAGCTTGCATGTGAATTCTCATACCTATAATAATCAAATGTGAGCATTCCTATTGGAGCGGTGTCATCTGGACAACTGGGTATGTCTGTCACTTCCAGTTTGTAGCCCTGTCAAAACAAGGTTACATTGCAGTTAATCAAACTTTTATTGTGTGCATTCCAATAACTTTAAAGAGGATCCAAGATGTCGTTTACCGTTTCATTCTCAAACCACAGGAAGTAACAGTAGAAGTAATCCCCATCTCGAAGTGTGACGGTAGCATAACCCTTGTGCAGATACCGTCGTGCTGTTGCTACAAGACTCCAAACCTGAAGACCAGTAAATTGTTATGAACTAAACAGATTAATGGGGTTGCTCAAAAGTTTGGACAAAAAATGATTTTAGAATCTACATTTTATCTTGTCTTAAGTCTTATGTCTATTTTATCGTATGATCACCACACAACAGACATTCTTTATAAACACAGTAAAAAGCAATATAGTAAAATAGTAAACAAAGTTCAAAATATTTATTCCTGTGATCAAAGCTGAATCATTTGCGCAAACAAATGTCTTTGAGCCCTATCATACACTCGGCGTAATAAGGCTTTTATCAGTTTATTCATGAATATTTGCATTTGTATAATGTTATTATTAGAAGCAGTATTATTTATTATATGCATATTTATATTTGTTTTATTAAAAACAAGTTTAAATTTGTCCACCTGTCGGGTTTTGGAGATGTCTGCATCAACATATGGGGCATATGTATAGGACGTGTGTTTAGATATAACTCAGTTTTTTGGCCACATTTTCTTATTATTGCTCATTTATTAGTTTGCTGGAAATTAAACCTGAATTTAGAAGTATCCTCAAGCTGCAGATGTTTTTTTTTTACTGTTTTCTCACTAGTAAAGTGTTCAGTTTTTCCACTTACAAAGTCCACCATGTAAATAGCAAATGCGGCATGGCGTGACACAACTGACTCTTAAAGGAAATGGGAGATGAGACTCTGACTGGCTTAACGCACGATATGCTCAAAACAGACCCATAACTCATTAACAGAATAAGCACAACCCTGATAGACCATGCGCAAGCGTGCAAACCTTATTTTTCCATGTTTAAAATAGCAAAAGCGGATTCAGAAACACCCATAATGCTTTTGCGCCCTGCGCTTTAGACTTTGCCCTTAGATTGTTAAAATAGAGCTCATTATGTTAAATTGAGATTCCCTTTTTTTGATGAAAAGCAAGAATTTGACATTTCATAAACATATTTGCTGATACTTTCAATGAAACATAATGTACTTAAACTGTATAAAAGTATACATTTCTTTAAAAACATTTTTGTAAGGTAATCCATTAAAAACATAAATAACCAAAAAACTAAAAATCAGCAATTAACAGTTTTTTTTCTACATAGAACAAAAAAAATACATAGAAAAAAAATAGATCTAAAAAAATCTAAAACATAAAAATATAAAGGTTTTCAGGCTTTCAGGCCGATTTATCTATAAGTATAAACATATGAAATATAAATAAATAAATATCAAAGTGCATTATTGTAAAAATCTAACCATACATATAGCAACATCAACTTACAGCACACCTTTTACAATTTACAATTTTATAGTGCAAGACAGACAAAGCACCTTTTTCTTTATGAAGTCAGCTAGAGGACCCTTTCCGAGCTCAGAGACGGTGCGATCAGTCACATTCAGAGAGGGTGCGATCATTTGACCACTTGAGCGATCCACGTAGATGAAGTGGATGAGACCAGGAAACTCCTCCAGGTATGTGCAAGCATGGTTAAAGTCTATCACAGTGTCACATGACAGCGAAAAAAAATGACTGAAGATTGAAATGTGAACGCAACACATCTAAATCAAGCCATAAATACTCAAGGTAGAAAAAGAGGATATGACACCATTGTGATGTTTCTTTTGCTTTTAACAAGAAGAAAATCCTTCCAGTCCATCAGCTTCTCTCTAAAACACAGGTGAGAATTTCAAATGGGAGTTAAAGGAAAAGCAAAAAAATTTTTTTATTTTTTTTTGGTGCATAAAAGTGTTCATGGAGCTTCATATGATTACACTTGAACCACTCAAGTAACATGGAATACCTCGACAATATATTTGGTTCATTTTCTGAATGACTTGTGACCTTTGCTGTCTACCAAGGGTTAGAGAGCTCCTGGATTTCATCTAAAATAGCTTAATTTGTGTTCTGAATATGTACAAAAGTCTCAGGGGATTGGACATTTTTAGGTGAACTAACCCTTTGTTTCTAAAGCACATAATATTCATCAACTTAAAGCGTTATCTTTTCAGACATACTGGACCATGTTCAGAGCCCGTTCTTGCAGATGAGGAGCCAACCGCTGACTGCTGCCCATACATTCAGCTGCGAAAAACTGCCTGTACACACCACACAGCTGAGTCTTCATGTTTCTACAAGACGGCAGCAAACTGCAACATAAAAAAACAGGTGAATTTTGTATCACTTCTGGGTGGATTCAAGGTCAAATGATCATTCACAGCACAGTATAATAAATAATATGTGTGGTATTTAGAGCTGAGACTTAACCAGACAGAGAATGCATTGTGTAAAGATCACAATATGACCCATTTAAAACGGTACTCACTCTCTAGTAAATCCAGTCCCAGATCTGCTGAAGGCCTTGTTCTTAAAGTCTGTCCAAGCATTTTGGAGTTGCAAAGTCTGAGCACATAAAAAAAAAAAAAAAAAGTTTACAAGAAGTTGTTTAAGAACAACACATACACTTAATACACAAATACACTTCATTAAACATGTACACATAGACAGCACCTATAAGCTATAAAATTGCAGGTTAACTATGTATATAATAACATATTTGATTGTAACATGAACGTTACTTTGATTGTAATGCAATAATGTGCACATTTTGTAAAACTGCATTGAAACAACAGTTATTGTAAAAAGCGCTATACAAATAAACTTGAATTGAATACTTGAGTAGGGTTTTTGATTATTACCTTTCTTGTTTTTTTCATAAATAAAACTCTGGATGCTGATTTTTTTTTTAACAATTCTTCAAAATTATACATTTTCTATATAAAAAAAATTATAATTTAGTGCGCATATCCACCAAAGCAAGTAAAATAAAGTAAAAGTAAAGCAAAGGCAAAAGAAATAGTAAAAGCAAAAATCAAAAGTAAATACAAAGTAAAGTATGACAATTTTTACAACTCATTTTATGGAGGTTGCTGGGATTTTTGGTAAAATGTGGTAAGGTTAGAACACAATGCAATGAATCACTAAAAGCGGTATCAGGATAAATGCTTACAGAACTTTTAATTCTATTATTATCGATTAGGTCAATATATTAAAGCATTCAGAAAAAAGCTTCAGAGGCATTTTTGAAGGCAAAAACGTATTAATATTCAGATTTATCAGCTATTTATTGATTATCAGCATCCAGAGTTTTCTTTTTTTGTTAATCCTTTATTTATTATTTTTAGAAAGAATACAATGAATAAAGTCTTGATAAGAATAATAACATCTCCTAAATCATAAGACAATGCTTTATGAAGTCATATTTTGAAGTCATTACCCTAAAAATACAATGCTTTTTGTAACATAGCCTATCATTTTGAATGAGTTGCTAGACTGACAACAAGTGTGAATGTTTCTTTACCTCAATTTCTCCAACAAGCAGGAAAACAAAGTGTTTACACCGCAGTGGAAATGTTGTTTTTGAAAGTTTGAAAGACATGCCTTAAGTAAAGTTACAGTACTGTACGTTTTGATAGCCGAAAGTTGATGATAGGCACACATTTCCAAAGGCATGGGAAAAAGTGGTGGACCCTGAAATGCGTATGGTCAATTTGACCACAGTGGCCATCCAAGGTAGAAATACTCTTTAGTGTTTAGTCATTTTAATAAAGTACTATTGACTATGTCAATGTGGTCATGTCATTGGCCCGTGAACATTTCCTGCTTGTTAACTACTTCATAACTGTAATAAGAGGCAATTCAATCATAACTTAGTATAAAAACAGCTACCATAACATTATTTATCAATATGTGGCTCTTTCTGGACTCTCAGAAGCTATAGAAACTAAAAATGTAAATCAGGAAATACGTTGGGACCATTGTTTTTGTTTACATCCCTCAAAATGGTCTATACACTAATTTATAACAAGGATACTAGTTATACTGTATATGTGTTTTTTAATGAAGCTGTTAAATTATAAAACTTAAAATAGGTCAAAAATGCCTCTGTGATTCTAGTGTTTTAATTATATGTTTGTTCAGTTCATTTACATAATATAAGTGGAGATCAGCAGATGCTTTCTTAAAAGGGTAACACTAACATTTACTAACATGAACAAGCAATGACCAATACATTTATTACAGCATTTGTTTAAGGAAAAATACAGTCATTCATTGTTAGTTCATGCTAAAAAAAATAGATTTGGATTTTAATAATGCACAATAATCTACAAGTATTGATCATATTTAGATCATCTTAGTAAATACATTAACTAATGAAAACTTATTGCAAAGTGCGTGTGACCCTTAAAAGTTATACTTAAATCATTAAAAGAATGACCCAGAATTTAAATCTGATTACATTTTATTGTGTGCTGCTTCCTAATTATAGCACATATTAAAGTGGAAGTGTGTGCTGGTTGAAGTGTGTGTGTCCACTGACCTGAATCTCCATGCTGGACCAGGCTTTAATGAACTTCTCCAGTTTGCTCCGCTGCTCCTGGACAGAGGACTGACCCCGCATGGCTGAAGCCCCTTCATGGCCCTCACCTAACCTCTTCTCCAGCTTGACGAAAGCCTCCAGAAAGTAGTAAACCGACACCGCCATATGACTGTTGGGGATCTGTTGCACACACAAATAAATAAAAGATCAAATGAGCAGGCAACTCCATGAATTTAAACTCACATGATCCCATTATTCATGATTTGACCAAGGGCTCATTTACATGGTCATCAGTGATCTAATTATTGGTAAGGTCAAATTAGATGTCTAATAATGTTGATACTGTACAGAATGCATTCAGAAATCACCTTGGTGAGCAGCACTAGTGTGATACCAGGCCATAGAGACAGGCAATACATGGAGTGAGGCATCATGGGACACTCTTTGGCTTCCAGAAACACTCTTGACGGCGATGAAGGGTCAGGGGTTGAAACTTCAAGAGTTTGTAGACTGTCCTCAGCCATCTAAAAATCATTAAAGATATGAGAAATTTCTCATCTATAAATATTAGGGATGTAACAATATTGTAAATACCGTCATACCGCAATAGTAATTTTTTTCAATATTACCGTAGGCACATCACTCAATAAATCAGATCTCTCCGTCCCAGAAACCTCAGTCCCAAATGAGAGGTTTTTTTTTCTGTTGCAGGAGACATGCCCAAAGATCCCAGCTTTTATCAGATTATAGTTAATTGATAATTTTCCTTAAAAAACCCATCTCTATCTAAGTTAGTGAGTGATTAAATGTTGAACGTGATGAGTTTTCAACAATACTAAAATGAAACTTAATTTTTTTTATATGGTTTAATAGTTTTTTGTTATTAAAATTGAAAAATTTAAGTTTCTGTTTCGAAACTTACAGATGGCTAATTTGTATGCCATTGATATGTTCTGTGCTGAGGTAAATAAACACTTTTGGCACTTTTTTCTTTTCATTAGTTTTGTTTTTCCTGTAAATTATTCAATAAATACCGTACCGTGCCATTCATACCGAGGTATTATTGTACTGTGAAATTCTGATACCGTTATATCCCTAATAAATATACAATCTATGCCATACACTACAGTTCAGATGTTCAGGGTTTACTTTGTTTTTGAAAGAAAAGCATTGTTATATTATATTTACAGTTGAAGTCAGAATTATTAGCCCCCCAAATTATCTGAACATAATACTTTTAATAACTCATCTCTAATTTATTTTATCTTTACCATGATGACAGTAAACTATATTTGACTAGATATTTTATAAGACACTTCGATACAGCTTAAAGTGACATTTAAAGGCTTAACTAGGTAAATTAGGTTAACTAGGCAGGTTAGGGTAATTAGACAAGTTATTGTATAATTATGGTTTGTTCTGTAGACTCATTTTCTTCTTATATCAAAAAATATATAGCTTCAAGAGGCTAATAATTTTGTCCTTAAAATGGGGTTTAAAAAATTAAAAACTGCTTTTATTCTAGCCAAAAGAAAACAACTAAGACTTTCTCCAGAAGAAAAAATACTATCAGACATTGAGACATTGTGAAAATTTCTTGCTCTGTTAAACAGCCTTTGGGAATATTTAAAATAAAAAGAAAAAAAATTCAAAGGGGGGCTAATAATTCTGACTTCAACTGTATATATTATAGTATACAAGAATATTACTAACATACCTTTTATTATAGTATGCCGAGTTCAGACTACACTATTTCCAAAGTAGTCCTCTCACAGATGTTTTGACAATACATGACTCTCTGGGGCAGCGTTCTGTCAGTGCTGTGTTTACACTGCAAGATGGATGGGCAATAGGGGGGTTCACACTGAATGACTTTACAATAGGAAGAATTGCAGACACAACTCTGTCTCGGTCTCCAAACTATGTCTCACAACCAAACATGCGGGAGATGTGACACGGAAGCAACAAAATGTCATGTAGTATATGTTTTGTTATTAAAGGTGCAGTCGATGATTGTGTTCAGAAATATTTTTGTTGTGCTGGTTAAAAGTCTCTTCACATTCCAATAGTAATGATTAAAGTAAATGATCTGAATGTGTTTATATGTATTTTTATATTCTCGGTAAGGCATAAAACTAAAAAATGTTCATCCAATTAAATATTGTCAGACCGACAAATAACTCAATTACAAGAGGTATCTCAAACTGTCTGTCAACAAATTAAAATTTCTGCGCAGCCTTGTTAAGCAGACAGATGCGTCACCCGCACACACACGTGCAGCACGCAACTACCGCTGACAGAGAGTGAAAGACGTCATCCTGCATACTCTGCATCAGCCTGAACTTCTTTCTGATAGACCAGCGCGGCCTAAAATGCATGAAAAGAAAGATTGTTTCTGAAAGGGCTTCTGCTAAAAATGCAGGATCAAAACTTTTCTAAACCTTGAATCAATATCGGAGTTACTTTTCTACACTGGAGCGAAATGTCGTTATGCAGTTTAAATCAACAATTTGAAGGGGCACACCACAGCTGAAGTATTTCTTTAAGACAGGTATGTTTTAAAACTATTTAGCCACGCAAAGCTGATGTAGACTGTGCTCTTGTTTATAAATGGGTTTAAATGCACAGAGTTATTGTTCAGCCACTAAAAAAAAACATCTGGCAGAAGATTGGCTATTTTCAAGTTCATGAGGTACCTTTTACAGCATCGAAATTATAGTCAGACCTGAGCATTTGTTTAGTTGTTCAAGTGTAAAAGGAGCTGAAAACAAGCGATGTACGAAGATCAACGAGCACAACTGAATATGAAAAGTCACTTGTTGTCTTGGTAGTATAAACATAAGTGTAATGAAAAAAGATGACAGGATATTTCTGTTTTTAGCACTCCTCTTTTCTGGTCTAATTTTTATTTAGTTTAAATACAAAACATAAGTAAATGTGCTCTTCCACCTAACCGGCTTTCCTGAGGTGAAGTTTGATTTATACTCACACATTTGTTTATTTTTGAACAGTCACAGCCTGTGACACAGTTTTGGGGAAATATAATCCTGCAACCGCTGACCTGTCAACAACTACACCTGATAAAGTGCGTGTCTCCATAGAGTTTTCTAACTGGTGAATGACATGATCTAGTGTTATATCTAATTCAGTGTGCGTTTGCGAGTTCATGACTTCAGGAGGCGTAGCTTTGGACAGCAGGGGAGGGTCGTAAAATTTCTAAGCTATTATGCTAATACTAGCATTCTGGCAGATCACCTGCTGCACCTTTAACTACATAAGAAGAAAGAAGCCTTTAGTGAGCTAGAAAATGTACTTATTTTGTTCACCTCAGTTTTTAAGGGAATTTGCAATTTCTCTTAAACTTTTTTCTTTTTTGACCCGGTAGTGGTATTGTTATGACACGTCAAACAGACACGGGTGATCCTGCCAAGTTTCCACTAGTTTGTCCTCCGTTTTTGTGTCCAAATAGAACAAAAAAAGCTCTGTTCTCAACCAAAGCCAGGCTTGTTGATATTGTGGTCTAACTCCTCCCTCAACTTCACACTGGTCTGGATGCTGCTCTCTCATTGGCTGTAGGTATTTGCCGATGTTATTTTTAATCAGAACACCTTTCACATGACATGATTCTGAGTTTTGATTTTGAGACTTATTGGCGATTCTCTCAGATTACGCCTTTGATAGTTCACACTGTGTGATTGTCACTCACGTAAACAAGGACTGATTTTGCTTGTGATTTCGGGCATTTGTCTGCAATTTTTAAAAACCTGATGGCGAGTCAAATTCAGGGCTAAAATCGATGCAGTCTGAACTCAGCAATAGTTTTCAGTGTCATAATGTAATCAAATGTCATCTAATATGCTAAAAATGTCATGTAATATGCCAAAATGCTGCTTTAAAATCAATTTTAAAAGAAAATTTGTCATATTTAATACAACATTTTGCATTTAAAAATGTAGAATCTCTTAATTGATTCAATATTGCTGCTTTTTACAGTACTGTGTTTTCACATTAACTTGTATATGAATTTTCTCATTTATTTGAATCTGGTTTGCATTTATTTATGATTGTTTCACTGCAATTTCTATTTATTTTAATAAATTTTAAAACCTTTCAATCTTTTTAAATAAATTTAGTAGAAACAATATAATATGTATAATTTATTACACACATTATTAGATTAGTTTTCTTTATATTAATGTATATTTATGTTTTTAAGTATTTGAGTTTTTCTAAATAATTGATAATTTATGAACTATTTGTTTTTTTTATATTACATTTTCATTTCATTTTTCAGATAATATTAAGGCTATATTTTTTACTCAATAATAAAACATAATAAAAAATCTATACAATGAGATCATATTACTTTTAGATCATAAAAAGCAGCTCAATGACCTGAATATCAGGATCCACAAACTGGAAGACAGGAGGACTGTCCTTTCTTGGTGTGACTGTCCAGTAAAAACATAAGATAAAATGAATCATGCAGCAATCATTTAGAAAAACATATATATATATACACTGTAACACCTTGGTGCATTTCATTATGGTGCAAACACGCATGCAATGGCATATGGATACATTTTTATCACCTGATTCTCGTTCAGGAGGAGATGGCTCTGGTGTGTAAAAAACATCAGGAACTGTACTGTTCTCCAGCTCCTAAACAACACAGAAAATACTGTCAAAGCACAGTAAAATATAATAACTAAATAATTACAAACTAGTGAAGTCAAACCTCAGGAGTGTCATCCAGGTCTATTTTGCTGGGATAAAGATCTTGCACCAGTATGATCAGAGCCAGGAGATCAGAAGGGTTCAGATTGCTGGCATTACGACTGCACACAGAAAAAAAAAGAATTACATTTGGATTACAATTAATTACATTATTTCTAATATTATTAATTATAAGCCCTTCTGTAATTTATTATTTTTTTCAAATTCAGTTGAGGTTAGAATTATTAGCCCCCCTGAATTGTTAGCCCTCCTGTTTATTTTTTCCCTAATTTCTGTTTGATGGACAGATTTGTTTCAACACATTTCTAAATATAATAATTTTATTTCTAATAACTGATTATTAGATTTCTAATTTCTAATAACTGATTTATTTTATCTTTGCCATAATGACAGTAAATAATATTTGACTAGATATTTTTCAAGACACTTCTATACAGCTTTTGTCCTTTAATTTTTTTTTTTTATGTAAAACTGCTTTTATCCAAGCCAAAATAAAACAAATAAGACTTTCTCCAGAAGAAATAAATATTATCAGACATACTGTGAAAATTTCCTTGCTCTGTTAAACATCATTTGGGAAATATTTAAAAAATATAAAAAAGGGGGGGCAAATAAGTCTGACTTCAACTGTATTTCTCAAGTACTATTCAATTAAGAGAAGATTATTTTTAATAAATTTTAAACAAAATATTGTAGTTTTAATTATTTTTTAAATAATATACAGTATATATACAGTATATATATATATATATATATATATATATATATATATATATATTACTAGCTATTTTACAAAATACTAGCATTCAACTTTAAGTCCAAATTAATACTTAACTAGGTTAATTAGGCAAATAAGACATTCTACATTTTTAAATCCTAAATTGTGTTACAAACAATGTCAAATGTTCTTTCAAAATGACACTTTAATGTCAAAAGGTGATAACAACCATTAAAATCACTGAATAAAATCATTTAAAAATTCAGATTCAAACATGCTGACATCTTGTAAAAAATATAATAATGATAAAAATATTAATAAACAATCATTTATCAATGATAAAAATGACAAAAAAAATATATATAAATACATATAAACATACATTTGGATGTATATTTGGACAAGTAAATCAAAAAAGATTTTTAAAAACATCTTAAGACAAGAATTGATGTACTCTAAATGTTGATAAAATTGTAACAAAACAATGTTTTAAAATTACAATACAGTTACGCCTGAACCATTTTAAATTTGTTTATATTTTGTTAAATTGTCTATAAAAGAAATAAATTTAAAAAATGTAATTAAATAAAAATAAAATAAAAATTACAGGAAAATTGTGATTTCTATTTCTTTTGGAATAAAACTGGGAACTTTTTTTTTTCCACATTAATGCAGCTTTGATTGCTTCTACTTAATTTCTTTTGTCTTTACACAACCCCAGTCTCCATCTGATGGTTTAGTACCTGGAGTAGAAGGCCAGCTGTTTGGTGTGCACCAGTATGAATGCGTGCAGCACCTCCTCACCGGCTCGGTCCATGCTGCTGTTAATCTGCTGTACCAGTCGACGCTCCAGAAACTCAATGCACTGCTCACAAAGGGTCGGGTGGATCAGCCTCTCCACTGCCTGAATGGAACCAGAGAACTCTTAATCTGTCATCCAAAACTAGCATGCAAATCATAAAAACAGACTTGAACGCACCTCCACTAAAAAGCTTTGGTCATTTTCACGCAAGCGGCTGTATGTCTCCAAGAGGCTTCGCAGTTTTTTCCACAACCGGTTCCTCTGCTCTGTGTCTTGAGGGCGCAGTCTAAAAAATTGAACATATGTGTGAACATATGAACCAAATAGACTGCTTGTGCTAACCTACAGTATTATAACGAAAATCCTAAGACCTTACACTCATCGGCCACTTTATTAGGTACATCTGTCCAACTGCTCGTTAACGCACATTTCTAATTGGCCAATCACATGGCAGAAACTCAATGCATTTAGGCATTTAGTCATGGTCAAGACGATCTGCTGCAGTGCAAAATGAGCATCAGAATGGGAAAGAAATGTGATTTAAGTGACTTTGGGGGACAAAAGAGGGTCCAACCCAGTACTAGCACAGTGTACCTAATAAAGTGGCCAGTGAGTGTTTATGAGATTTCTCATCTATAAATATACATTTTCTGCCAAACACTACGGTTCAAATGTTTAGCTTTTGTAAAAAAAATGTGTTCTTATATTTTTTCTGTTTTTGTAAGGAACGCATTGTTATATTACAGTTATATTAAGCATTGCCAAATGGTATAGACAATAACATAATATTAGTACAATAATATTATTCTTATACAGTTTATTACATTATTTTTTATTATATTACATTATTTATGTTTCAGTGTCACAATCATTCAGAAATGTAATCAATGTTAAATTGCTGCTTTAAAAACTGATATTATTATTTACAAAAGGAAGTCATTTTTACGGTTCTTCTGCTCAGTGTCTTAAGAGCGCAGTCTAACAAATTGAAACACAAACGAAAAAGGTATTTGGTGTTAAAATAAGAACCAACTAGACTGTTCACGCTAATCTTCAGGATTAAAATTGAAAGTGCAGTTCTCACTCTTTCCTCAGGAGGGGGCCGCTGAGCGTCACCATCCCAAACAGGATTTCTGTGAGTTTCTTCATCACGTAGATCTTTCTCTTCAAATCCTCTTCGGTCTCCTCTCCGTCTCCGTTCACAGCGATGTACAGGCACTCATCAAACTGCATGAACAAACAGAAAGAGGGTCATTAACAGAGATGTAGAATTTTATTTTATTTTTTAAACTGTGGCGATATTTCACAGCTGAAGTGAAAAACATCAAGTGTAAACTAAAAGTTTTATTAAATGGCGTGTTTTGCAGGAGCGGGGTTGCTACATAAACTAACATAATAATAAATAAAAACATAATACTTGATGTAAACCTATTCATAACTACAGGAGCGGTACCAACTATACATATACTATAAACTAGGGATGCAACAATACAGTCAGCCCACAGTTCAATACATACCTCGGTTTTTTAACACGGTTTTCGGTTCGGTTCTTATGGCTTGACAGTTGACACATGTTTTTTTTTTATTCTATAGGCAATAGGAACAGTAAGAGGTTTAGGAGAAAAAAATAAAAATAATTTATTGCAATACTGATTTTGTTTTACTTAAAAGCCAAGAAAACTACACTAGTTGCTAGTGTATTGTAAAAAAAAATGAAGACTGAAATCTCACAGTTGCTGGTAGCCCATATACAAACTGGGGAACACATAAAAATCCGGTACTTTGAAAATAAACATACATGCTGTGCTGAAAAAATGCGAGACTGTAGTCTGTAACGCGGGATCGAGTGCTTTTATAAAATGACAAAAGCCCACATCTCCAATCACCAAAATCTTTAGCAATAAACACCCGCACTGCCTTTGTTATTTTTATGTGTCTCTCGAAAACAGTTGGGTATGTTTGCTTGAAGGATTCAGCGAGGGATTGTTGCTATTTTAAGGACTTTATTACCTTCTCTGCTTTCCTGCCTTCAGACAGTGATATTGCTGGGTGATGGCGCTGCAGATGTGCAGTCATGGTTATATGTGTAAAACAATGCTTGCACAGTTATTTTTAGTTTACCGTTTTTTCTTTTATTGGCATTATATTTACCAGCAAAACCGAAATGTCCTCACACCGCAGATTTAAAAGACGCCAGCGTTTCCTTGTACTGTTGCCTCAGTTCACCGCGGCTTGCCATGTAAAAATGTGGAATGATGGTCAAGCGCCCCCTAACTTTAGAGGATGGTAATTGAATATTTACTTGTGGGGAGGAGTTTCCTCATTTCAGCTCATGGACTTACAGGCCCACACAGTCAATTCGGGGAGTTATGAAACGCACATAAACGCAATATTTAACCGCAAAACCGAGAAAACTGCAATTCACAAGCGCGTATTGAACCGTGGAGGTTGTACGGTACGGTTCAATATCATATTGAGAACCGTGGCATCCCTGCTATAAACAGTTAAATCATTCACAACCTAAGACAGACAATACAAGTACTTTTACATAAGATAGAACAACAGTGTGCTAAATATTGTGGTCATGTTTTCTATGCAAGTTGCCTATGTAGAGTATGTTGCATATGTAAGTCCTTAGAAAAATAAATACATGACACATATACACACATATGTACATACATATAAAGTTGAAACGAGGCAAAATTATTAGCCCTCTAGTAGACTTGTAAATCTTTTTCATATATTTTCTAAGTGCTGTTTAACAGAGCAAGTTTTATTTTCACAGTATGTGCTAATAAAATTTTCTTCTGGAGAAAAAAAGTCTTATTTATTTATGTTTGACTGGAATAAAACAAATAAATTAAAATTATACATAATTTAGTTTTGGAATCATTTTTTATCAAATATTATTATAAAATCATAAAAATGGTATTGGCTACCGAACAAAGCAATGTTGACCAATGATTTATTAACCTACAGCAGGGGGCTCCATACTGAGACACTGCATACTAGTATCTTGCAAAATAACTAGTAAAATATTATGTACTGTCATCATGGAAAAGACAAATTGCCTAATAGAACTGAGCTATAACTATTATCTTTTAAAATAAGTTGAAAATTAGGTTGAGAATGAATCCTTAGATACATGTAATTAAATGGATATATACAGTAGATGATTATATGGTTTATTTAATAAAATGGTTTAATAAAATAATTATTTAATAAAATGGTTTATATGGATTTATGTTTACGTCTTAGGATAGGTGTTTTAGATTACTTACAGAATCAAAACACCACCTGAATATACAAAAATATAATACTTAGGGCTCGAAATTGCGCCCAAAATTTTATCTATGCGACTTCAAAATATATTTGGGAGCATTTGTGCGAGTGCATTAAATTGATGTCATGCGACCAGTTTTCACAGCAAAATGTTCACCACATGCGTGGAATTAGGAAGCATTCACACATTAAGCATCTTTGCACCTAACAACACCAAACGCAGTGCTTCGGAATGGTTTAAAACAGTTGACATGTAAACTTGCTGCAGTAAACAAGCCAGCAATGCTTGCCCCACCATCAAGCTCTTCTTATTGGCCCACTGCGCTAAAACAGAATGCGAATAGAGTGGTTAATACCAGCTGTCAATCATTCAGTTCCAATGACAGGGAGCTACAGTCGCGAAAATGTAAAGGTCTGCATGCAAGATAATGAAAACAACACTGACAGATTTAGTTTTAGAAATCACCTAAAAATACAAATAATGGCACATCTGATTAGTGATCATGTAATTAATGTCAATCCAGTATTTACACTTTTCAAAGAGTGGATAAAATACTTTCAGTGTTAAAAGTCTACTATGAAAATGACTAAAGCATTCACTGTAATGCTGGTGGGATGAGGTTTTCAGGTCACAGCGTTTGCCACGGAATCTACACATTTTAAGCACGAGACGTACTAGCGTTATTTAATCCTTTATTTAATCGTCACAACGTATGGAAATAATAAGTTATATGTCAATATCAGACATCACCCATGAGAACAGCACAGTTATTATTGTTAATTCAGTTCATCTCATTCATGTCCAGCAGTGCGTGCAGGGCCGGTGAGCGCATGAAGATTTTTGTTTATTTGTTAGCTGTGATAAGAGTGTTAATATATAATATAATCTGTTAATATAAACGTGTAGTTACGATGCTCATATTTTTGGTGGGTGCGACTAAATTTTGTCTAGTGCGCCTACATTTCTTAAGTTAGGAGCACCGGTGCTACCAAGAAACAAGGTTAATTTCGAGCCCTGACATTATGAATATATTGCTCAGCAGATGAGTACACTCCTCACAAATCTCTCATTTTAATTATTATTTTCCAAAGGACAAAATTATATTAGATTTACAATATTATATTGTAAATGCATAAAAATTTGATTAGTCAGTACTGAAGCCAAATCTGGAGTTTATCTAAGAAAATAAGTTATGATAATGGTCCAAAATTTCTACACCAAAATTTTTATATAAGAGAAAAATAAATAAATGCATTATCTTTCTATTTCTAAAGATGTTTTTTGACAAAAATATATAAATAAATATATACATTAAATAAATCTGTTTTGTTTAAATGCACCAACATACATTGCCTATATTCACTGAGAAATGAATACAAATATTCATCTTCAAAACGGGGTGTACTCAATTATGCTGAGCGCTGTAAATATGACATCATTTTACAAAATACATTTTTTAAATATTGTACTTTGTGTGTTTACAGTATACACATCAAACCAGTATAATTTCGTAAGCATTTTTCGTTCGTTCAGCAATAGCGTGCTGTCTGTTCATAACCAGCAGTGTGCATGTCATTAGAGCAGCTGAGATGACTCTTTCATTCCGCTGTGCATTACCTGATGCAGAACATAGATATGATTGTTCTCTGTGCTGAAGGAGGTGTAATTGTCCCCGAGTCGGTCCACCATGGTGCTACAGGAGATGATGATTGGTGCGAAGAGAGTGTTAATGCTGTCTTCAAAGGCAGGCAGCTAAAAATGCAAAACAAAATATTAATAATTATGCACACAAATAACAATGTATTTTAAAATGAAATTTTGGTTGGTTTCATTATAAGAAATTTGTTACAGCTGGAGTATGGAATTTAATTTTGTTTATCAAAATTTACTAAATGTATGTATGTAATAATTGTTTACATCCTGAATCCATCTAATGAACGGTGTTGTTTTTTATTTTTAGCTAAAATTACAACAGGGAGCTTATAATGAGTGTTTTTTTTAGATCTGCTGGGTCTGTACTTAGTTCCTTCATTAGCTATTTAGTTCCTTTGATAGTCACTTCATTAGTTAGGAAGTTAATTCATTACTTAGTTTCTTACATTGTCAGTTACTTCATTAGTTAGTTACAGTAGTTTGTGTCTTAGTTTGTCACTTAGTTATTTTGTTATTTAGTTAGTTAGACTTGCATTAGCAATATTAATCGCAACACTTGTACAAAGTATTCAATATAAAATTTACAACCATAACAGTTTCTTAATATTCATTCATAGCACAAAAGAAACAAATAAATAACAACAACTAACAAACAATAACAAAAAGTAAGCAATAATCTTTCTATTTGATCAATGATAAATATTTTTTAATTCCTCCATATGACATTTTACATTTTTTTCCTTGAAATATGTCCTGAAAAAAGTTCACTAATATCATTTAAAAACACATTCTATTAAAATATGTTTTATCCTCAAAATATTTGAACGTAATTTACAAATATGTTTGGATTGGTGCATACACTGCTACTGTAAATATGAAGGTTTTAAAATGGTGTTCAATAGAAGAATCTTTTGGTTTCCCTAAAAAAAACTTTTAGTAACAGTTTTTTCTTAGTTTGAAGAATATTTAGTGTATCAATAGAATCATTTTCTGCTATAAGTTTTGTTTACAGCAAAGGTTCCTGGTGTGTTAAAGGTTCTTTATAGAACCACCAAGCCAACAAAGATATTATATTTTAAAAGCAATAGTCAATTCAAAACTGATGCCATCGGCTTTTAACTCACCCTTCACTTATTTTAAATCTGCTTTTTTTTCTTCTGTTGATCACAAAAGAAGAAATTTGGAATATGGCTGTAAAGTGAAAACCATTATCTTTGTAGTATTTGTGTTTTCAACCGTGGAAGTCTACGTTTATCAGCTTTTAGCTTACTTCAAAATAATCTTCTTTTAGGATCAGCAGAAAAAAGAAACTCATTAAGGTTTGTAACCAATTAAGACTAAGTAAAATTACATTTTGGGTGCTATCCCCTTAAGAGTGTAGCATTTGAATGAGAGGTAATGTTATTTTATTCATTTATTTAATGCCATGTAAGCACCCAAGGCTATTTTCATGGCACGAATAATTCAATAATAAATATACAATTAAAATCATCAAACAACTGAAAACAATAACTTAAATAAGATTTTTAGTGTTATTAGAGGATGAAAATTCTAATATTTTCTCTGGTGTCACTTTGCTACAAATGTCCTCAAGAGAATTCATTCAAGAAAAAAAGCCTTCTGGAACCATTAAAAGCAGGACAGTCCAGTAACATGTGTTTTACTGTAAGAGGTTTTGTGCATTACAAACATTGAGTAGGGTCTTCTTGAATGAGAGGTAGTTCCAGCTATACTGTTCCTCGTTAAGAAGCAAACAGTTTTATGTAAAAACTACCGGAGTACCCAATGTTATGTACAGTAGCTTAAAATATCTATGTTTTATGTGTCTGAAAGTCAAACAGCACTATTTGATAATCTAGAGCAAAAAAAAACATACTCCTTCTCCTTCCTCCTGGGAGACTCCATACTGCTCCTGAAGCCGCTGTTCGAACTCGCTGTCCGTCCAGTAGAACAGAACCTCTGCGCTCTCATTGGCCACCAGCAGACACTTCATTTTACCTGAGGAAAAATGATTCATTGTGTTCACATGCTTTCTTGAGGCATTACTGACTTTGCAGGACTTCTAAAGCGAGTTTGCCCAAAAATGTAAATTAACTCATTATTTACTCTTCCTCATGCGGTTTTTAAACTTTTATTAGTTTCTTACATCTGTAGGAAACAAAAGAAGATATTTTACAAAGAAAACTGGTTGCTGGGACCCATCAACTTCCATAGCAGGACAAAGAAAAATACTGTTGAAATCAATGGATCCCAGAAACCAGCATTTTTCATATGATCTTCTAAAGGGAGAGTAAATTGTGGCAGAATTTTCATTTAGTAGAATTAAACAACACAAATAAGTTTTCCTTAAGGAGGTACACCAAAGATGCTGAAACTAGCACTGGAAACGTCAGGTAATTTTTATATGTTAGTCTGGCTTGCATAACATCTATGTAAATATTCATCAATCCCTCTCACAATATAGCCAATTATTTTCAATATCTTTCAATAATCACTGAAAAGAGGGCTTAATTTAGCAATGCGGTGTCACCCCATCCCCACCCCCACCAAAAAAAAATAAATAAATAAATGTCCTTGATCTGTTAAACATCATTTGGGAAATACTTAAAAAGAAAAAAAAAACTGTACATAATTGTTACACATTTAGTGTAAGTGTTGGTAAAACAAAAAGCAAAAAATAAAATCTCTAACAGCAATTGATCAGGACATATTCTAAAGTAAAGACAAAGTATCTACGACTGCACTATACAAATATTTAGAAATGAGAAAACCAGCTAAAGTTACTTTTTTTGTTGAGGTAAAGTTTTTTTTTAAAACCTGAGCTGACAGTTTCAATTTACAACTTCAAAGTCAAGCTGCTTTGGCACATTCTACATTGTAAAAGTGCTATAGAAATAAAGATGAATTGAATTTGCACATTCGTTCAGTGACAACTTGTGACATGCTCCCTATATTGTTTACCATAGTACTTTCAATTTTCAGTCTGAAATCACATGTAAGTACTGTATGGCTTGAACAACAACATTAGAACTATTTATTGTCAACAGTGTTGCAAAGGCTGCTAATATGATTTTACTATTTAGATTTGGCAAAGGATCCTTTTCTGAAATTATATTGGGAGAATGTTTGAATGTGTGAATATAAAATTAACTTTACCTTAATGAGAAATCCCTGTATTTGACATTTACTGTACTGTATATATAAATACAACAATGATAACATGGTTCACAATAACAAAACACACTGATGTAAGACACAAACGGAAGTAAATAAAAAAACTCACATAGATCTTTTCAGCAAGAATTATTGCAATATTATAAAACACAAAGCAAACAATACCTGACAGGGTGTTCCTCAGAAGCCGACAGCTTTTGGTTCCTCCAGGATGAAACTAAAGTTTACGCCTCATCTGATGCCTGATTCATAGAAAAGCATAATTTACTTGGGAACTTTTGCACTAAACTCTCTAACCTACTTACGTATCACTAAAGTACACTTACTGTTTTAGCTGTTGGCGTTTACAGCAGAAAAGTGTCATTGTTTCTGAATCCTGGTCCAGCTCACCGAACAACGATTAGTTTGTCATCAGCTGCTGAACTGCTACAGCGCTTCCGTAAAGTGTGTGCGTGCGCGCGTCACGTGATTGAGTATTCAGCTACGAGCGAGCAAGCGCGCGGCCGCGGCACGTCTGGAATTCAGATCATGCGCGGCGGATCTAAAGCGCGTGATTCATTTATTAACGCTCATTCATATAATAAAGCCATTTATACCCGCTCACCCTGTGTCTGTCAGTCTTTCTGTCTTTTACACAGTATTCAGTACTACACTGTATTAACGTTAAAATGATCGTTCGCTCAAAATGACAATTTACTTACTTTTTACTCACTCGCAAGTGGTTGCAAGCCTTTTGAGTTTTTTCTTCTGCTTAACACAGAATTTGATAATTTTGCAACCATTGACTTTCATAGTACACTCACACAGATAAAGCTGTCACTGAGGTGGTACCTTTTCAAAAGGTAGCCTACACATTTCCATACTAATACCTGAAGGGTACATACAGAGGAGAGCAGGGCACAAAGTAACACTTTTTGGTTTATTTGGTCAAATAATAAACAAAGTATTGGGGTTAGAAAAACCATTTGTTTTACCAACAAAACACAAGTCTCTCCTACAAAGCACTGAAAATATGATCGCCGGACCTATGGTTTCTGTGCAGTGTTGCCAAAAGTGCCAGGGGTAAAAATGTTACTATTTACCCCACCAGCGGGACAAGTTAACAGACAGAGGATTAGTTGTAACATATGCTTAAAAAGGTAGATTACACAAAAAATCATTTAAATTTAATTTAGCTATATTTTATCAAGCAGTACCTAGCTCAATTTATTTTTATTATACACAGCACAGTATGTTTATTTATTTATTATTATATAAACACACTTGTATTTATTTGAATTATTATCCATTATTATACAATGCATTTATTTGTAGTATTAACAATAAAATATTATATATTAAATTGGTGTCCAACTAAATTGTAACACCCTGTTACAACTAACCCCTCTGTGTCGTGTCTTCCTCAAAACTGGGTAGCAATCACAGTGTTTTTTACATATTTCAAAATGGTTTCATCTTTTAGCCTAGAAGACGGTAATCAGAACAATATAAGATTAAGTTCATATTTTCAAATATTTTTTTAAATAAAAAAATATTGACCATATTAAAAAATACTTTTATGTTGCAAAAAATGGCTTCTCCTGTGTTTCCAAATCCAAATTTAGCCGCACTTTTTCAAAAATTGGCAGGAAGACATCTGCCGACACTGTGGTGAAAACCTTGAAAGCATGCCATGATTAAAACTGAGCAAACCTTAAAACTCTGTTACATTTTACCCCTCATTACGTTTATTTCTGAGCGTGTGGGATAAACAAATACTACGGAGGTCATTGGTGGTTACAGGTTTCCAACATTTAACAAAAAATCCTCTTTTGTGTTCCACAGGAGAAAGAATCTCAAAAAGGTTTAAAACAAGGATGAGTAAATATTGATAGTATTTCTATTTTATCTGTTAGGTGAACGATCCATTTAATGTTTTGTTTTTTAATTTACTAAACGATTTCATAATGGCATTAAAATATTAAAAAAGGAAAAAAGTATGATCACAGTCTGTCTAATTCTATAGTCAGAAAAGTGAAAGACTGTTTACTCTGTAATAATAAAAAACATAACAATAAATTTATTATATTCAAAAATCCCCACAAAATATTTAGTTATTATTTATTAATCCAGAGAAAGTTGGTAGCTGTTTCGGTGGTTCTTATTTTAGGAAATTAAATTATTTTTAATATTTCATGTAAGTTTTGCAACTCATATCTTAATTAGATTGATTAGATAAAACCTGTAACCATTGACTTCCACAGGACAAATAAATACTACAGAAGTCAATGATGGTTGCAGGTTTCCAACATTTTTCAAAATATTTTGTTTTGTCTTTTGCAGAAGAAAGAAACTCAAGAAGGTTTAAAACAAGTAAAAGGTGAGTAAATAAGAGCGTTTTCATTTTCACGGTGAACTATCCCTTTAATGTTGTTGTTGAATTTACTAAAAGATCACAGTCTGTCTAATTCTGTAATCAGAAAAGTAAAAGACTGTACACTTTGTAATGATAAAAAAACACAACAATGAATTTATTATATTAAAAAATCCCCCCAAAATATTTAATTATTATTATTTTATTCCAAAGAAATTTAGAAGAAAAAGAGAAATTATATATATATATATATATATATATATATATATATATATATATATATATATAATTATTATTATTACCTTTTAATATCTTGATTTTTCTCCTTTTTTACATTTTATCTGCCAGATAAAATGTATAAAATGTATTGCATTCCTTAATCGCATGTAGTTTGACTGTTTAAAGAATGAATAATATTGCATACAATTGTGTATCTCAAATAAATGAAATGGACATTTTATCTGGTTTGTTATTCAACAAACACATTCCATTTCTGTAATTATTAATAATTCTGCTGTCAAATATTGACTATTTGCATGGTTCATATATAAAATAATGATTATGCCAACTCAGGACGCATCTCAGATTAATTATAGTTTAATATTTTGTTTGGTTTGACAAACAAGACAAAAATGCACTGTAAAATAGAATACATTCATACATTTTATTTATTTATTTATTTATTTTTAACAAAGGTTAGTGACTGGTTCTTTTGTGGTCTAATTGTAAAATAAATATAAATTAAAATAATTCCTTATGCATTAAGGTGGGATGCTTGTTTCGATATTTAAGATCAGGAATGCCCAAAGTAGGACCTGCAAGACATAGTTGGCCCATTGTAACCTTTAATTTAGCCCAAAATCTCATCTTAGAAGGATAGAGAGGGTTGGGGCAATGCCTTAAACAGAGATCACCATTTCTAAAAATGAGGTAAAATTAGTTTTATACTCGCACATTCGTTCAATGAAACTTGTGACATGCTCCTTTTAGTGTTTACCAATGTACTTTGAATATTCGGTCTGAAATAAGATGTAAATATGACTTCAAAAAACATTAGCACGGTTTATTTAACTGTGAACAATGTTGTACTTTGATAGTCATTGGCTGCCATGATGCCAAGATTGCTTTTCTGAAATTATATTATTAATGAGAAGGTCTGAATGTGTGTATATAAAACCAACTTTACCTTACTACTCCAAAATTGACAAAACCTTTTTTTGTTTGTTTTATTGCTGAGCTACAAAAAAAGCAAATTGGTCAGGGGTGAGGTGTCTGACTAACACTGTTGAGATCCGGGTTAGTTACTGTACTGTGGTGTTACTAACTGTACAATGGAAATTACGGGAGAAACAAAGCGAAAGGGTGGCTAGTGATGGGTCTGATATATGACAGACTCCCAGGAAAAATGGGAGCGTTGACAGGTTTTATTTATACACACACACACACACACACACACACACACACACACACATATATATATACATATATACATGCATATATACACACACACACACATATATACATATATATATATATATACACACACATATATATATATATATATATAAATATATATATATATATACACACACACACACACACACACACAAACATATATATATATATATATATATATATATATATATATATATATATATATATATATATATATATATATATATATATATATATATATATATATATATATATACTGTATTAGTTAATATAAAGGAATGTTTTTTTTTTTTAATATTATAATATTATTATAAATTAGGAAATTACCCATGACACATATTCAGCTCACTAACCGTAAAGTTTGGATTTTGGCATTTCACAAAAAAAATGTAGCCATCCCTGTTTTAGACAAACCTTATATAAAAATGAATTTGATCTATTTTCGTCAACTTCGGCACTGCTACTTTTTTTCTACATGTTTTTTTAAATTTTATTTTTCTTTCTTTCCTTCTTCCTGCTTGAAATTGTAAATAAATATTCGGTTTGTTTTGACCAGCACGTTCTGCAGTGTATGACACACACATGTAAGAATGTCGGATTTTACCAGCGTTAACTCTCTGTGTAATTGGCTTATGCGCAGAGTAAACATCATGAAATCCTCCATCTTGGCTCAAGGCTTGAGTTCTGTTCTGGTGCTCCAAACAGGGTCAAAAGTATAAACATTTTCACGCTGGGTTTGGTTACAGTGTGCATGGCAAAGCCGGCAAAGTCACGCAAAGGTAGTTTGAGTCTCCGCAGAACTGCAGAGCGCAGAGAAAGAGACGTCACACTTCATTATGTCTGTATATTAATCCATGATGGTGATTGTCAGCTTTGATCAGATGACAAAGACCTACCTGCTCGCTGCACAGGCAACACACACATATTCAGTCATGTTCTGCAGGCTTGGGTTATTTATTTTTTTATTTTATAATGTAAAATTGTCTTATTATTGTTTTATTATGGTTCACATATTGTCTAAAATTGATTCCCTTTTAATGTCTAAATACATTAAACATTTATTTTGGTTTGACAATTTATCTGGATTTTAAAAGACTAAAAAAATAAATTCAACCACGAATCAAAAAAAGTTGGGAGAGTATGACAAACACAAATAAAAAAATAGTAACCTCAAAATTTACTTTGACTTGAATTTTATTGCAGACAATACAACAAACAATTTTTAATGCGCTCTTCGTGATTTTTAGTTTTATTATTATTATTTTAAAATTTGGTTCTTGCAACACAATTAAAAATATATATATAACAGTAAAGCATTTATCACTTTGTGCTTCAAAATGCACCACAGATTCTCTATTGGAGACAGGTCGGGAGTGCAGGCAGGCCATGAAAGTACCTGTATTCTCTTCCTTCGAACAAGTATATAAATAAATAAATAAACAAATATGTGTGTGTGTGTGATAAGAAACTAACAGTTTCTCTTTTGATACACTATTCGATGCCTCTTTTAGTCTAAATTTCAGTAAATGTAAATATGTAAATATATATTTAGTATAGAATTTTATATATTTTGTGCATTTTTAAATTTCAAATAACTTAATTGTATTTGGTTAGATATTTAACAAAGACAAAAAT